TCATTCATTTACAACCTCCAAAACATGAATTCTGAGCAAAATTAAACATCCTCGCCCATGGGCCACTGTTCGCCGGCGAACGAGTTTATATCTAAAGTTTTCGCAATTTAAAATAAAAAAAATTTCATCCTTGGCATATATTCAAAACAACTGCATGTTTAATTTGGTCAAATCACTTGTCAGAAAGTACCCACAGTGCGGAGAGTTTCTGGACTTTTGTGAGTCCAGAATTAAATTGTGACGTGTTAATGACATTTGTTATACTGTTAACACAGCGATGGCTAACAGGTGGCAAAGTCTTGCCGCCATCAATAACATTTGAAACAGATACAAAATATTCATTTAATGTTAATTTAATCTGTAAAAACTGAAGGTATCCCAGAATCATCAGTGACAAGAAGGGGAGTGGGCCCCGATGAAGTACTAACCACCTGATTGAGTAGACTGAGGTGATAAATAGTTATAAAAATTAGAATAAAAGTTTCCCTTGGCTATTCTTTTCAGATTATTTACTTTATTCCTTTGCTTTTTGGATTTAAATAGCTCAGACGTATTCAGAGCTCGAAATGCTTTTTTCCTTACACGTTCTCATTTCTTTTAAGTATGCTACGAGGGGCGTTGAAAAAACAGTCAAACTAACTATATTCTCCATGTCAAATGTTTGAAAAGAAGATTCATTTTATTTTGAAGGAATCATTAGCAAAGTCATATCCAAAATTTCATGTGGGTAATGTGGTTAACGAGATATTAGTCATCACATCATTGGGGTATTATGTTTCCTGCAAATTTGCAGAAAATGGAAAACGATCTCCCATTTGGTATCTAGTAATAGTAATAGTCCGCTTATATGGCGCTCACATCCAGGCACATTGCCTGCTCACGGCGCTACGTACATTACTATCCCCGATCATAGGACACTCTCGTAGTTTCCGATACTTTTTCAACTCCCTGGGGACTGTACAACCCTGCGGCCCGTTAGGCGCAATGAACTAAACACTCACATCGCCAGCACATACTCACGGGTAGCCATTTTACAGCTGGGTGAACTGAGACAGTGTAGATCTAAGTATCTTGTCCAAGGATACAACGCAAATGTGCCCATCTCGGGAACCGAACCTCGGTGCCTCCTCGAAACAGGGCCTTCAGCGTGATAGGCAGACGCCTTACAACTGCACTATTGCGCTATCCCTTGGATAATGGTATACCCTCAGATAGTATCATATAAAATATGTTCAGCATAGTATTGGATGACTTCCCGTCATCATCAACATTCAAAGATTTGGATTGCTTGATTTACATTTAGACGGGGACCGTTTTTTTTAGGACTTTTTGTGCAGTTTAATATCTAAGTTTGATTTGATTTGATTTGATATACCCGTTAGAACACCCCCCTCCATCCCACCCCACTTTATATTTATACATATCAAAACCTCAAAAGATATTTGCGAAAACACATGATACAGAGGACAGTCAGAGATTTTATATCGATTATATATCAGGACGAATATCATTTTCGTCATTTGGCTAACATTTGTCAATTCTTGCTTGGGTTATCGCACTAACAATCTTTATATTGGCAAAACCCTCAGATTTTAGCTGTGACCTTGAAAATTATCTTAAGGTCACTCCATTTCACTTGTGTCGGTGAATCTCGCCAATATACCTTGGTACCAAATTTGAACAAAATCCATCAATTCTTTCTTGAGTAATCGCCCTACAAGCTTATTTGATGTATGAAATGCAACGAAAAACAAACACCCGCGTATTTACGAGTTAATAGTAAATTCCGAGTGATTAAAACTGTTATTACAATTTACGTAAATATTTATTACATTTTACCTCAACGAAAATTATTACAATTTACGTCAATTTTTATTACAATTTGCGTATTACAATTTACGTCAATTTTTATTACAATTTACGTTTTTATTACAATTTACGTCAAGTTTATTACAATTTGCTGCAAGTATTACAATTTGCGTCTTGATTACAATTTACGTCGTAACACCTTTCCTGTCTAGGAAAGTGTGTCCCTAGTCTGTCTCACAGCCGCTGAACCACATTATTTTCCTTCAGACTAGATCTCTCTGCAATGCTAAAGCTCTAAATGAAGTAAGTCTAGATTTCCTCACGTTCAGAATCTCTGGTCTCCCTGGGTCTCCTATTCAATCTAATGTTTGTTACTATCAAAGTTTTATATATTCAGAGACTAAGCTTTAGTCTAGTGTGTCTTGTACTGTCATGGAAACATCCGGGTTAGAGTGAGTGAGTGAGTTTAGTTTTACGCCGCGCTCCGCCATATTCCAGCTATATGGCGGCGGTCTGTAAATAATCGAGTCTGGACCAGGTAATCCAGTGATCAACAGCATGAGCATCGATGTGCGCAATTGGGAACCGATGACATGTGACATGAAGTCAGTGAGCCTAACCACCCGATCCCGTTAGTCGCCTCTTACGACAAGCTTGGGTTGCCGAAGACCTATTCTACCCCGGATCTTCATGGGTCGATCCGGGTTAGAGCTGTGTCATGTTGTAAGAGGCTACTTACCAGATTGGGTGGTCAGAATCACGGACATGGTTGACACTTGTCATGGTATCCCAGTTACGTAGACCTACTGCTCATGCTGTTAATCACTGGTTTGTTTGAGACCAAGCCAGATTAATGCGTATAATGTTTTGAGTTTCGTTTCGGTAGCGAGCTGGCACAAAAGATATACGTACTTAGAGATCATGTTTCTAATGGAGGGATTGCGTTTCGGGCATAATTTCCTTTCATGGCTGCTGTCGTGGGAAGTCATGCATTGGAGCTCTGGCGTCCATGTATTTGATAGATATCGACACAAGGGGTCATGCGGCCCTGTGTTTACGTTCAGACGAACAATTGTCTAGCCTTTGCATGTGTTTATGGAGTGTGCCATCGATGGGGCAGGATGCGGTCACCTTTTAGTGTACACATGGTTTCATCACCTAATAATGATTCTCAAATCACGTGATCATAGGAAGGATGTTGTATAGTCGACTCTGCTGTTGGCATCCTGATGTTGTATAGTCGACTCTGCTGTTAGCATCCTGATGTTGTAAAGTCGAGTCTGCTGTTAGCATCCTGATGTTGTAAAGTCGACTCTGCTGTTGGCATCCCGATGTTGTATAGTCGACTCTGCTGTTGGCATCCCGATGTTGTATAGTCGACTCTGCTGTTGGCATCCTAATGTTGTATAGTCGACTCTGCTGTTGGCATCGTGATGATGTATAGTCGACTCTGCTGTTGGCATCCTGATGTTGTATAGTCGACTCTGCTGTTGACATCCTGATGTTGTATAGTCGACTCTGCTGTTGGCATCCTGATGTTGTATAGTCGACTCTGCTGTTGGCATCCTGATTGTATAGTCGACTCTGCTGTTGGCATCCTAATGTTGTAAATTCGACTCTGCTGTTGGCATCCTGATGTTGTATAGTCGACTCTGCTGTTAGCATCCTAATGCTGTATAGTCGACTCTGCTGTTAGCATCCTGATGTGGTTGGAGCAGTGTTGCTATTATTTTAAGCACATGAGTGAGTGAGTGAGGTGTAACTGGTGAGCAAGCATTGCCATTGGTGTCTTTGATTTGTTTAATGTTATGAAACATGGGCTTGTTTGGTTTTATGACAGCAGACTTGGAAAACTGGACAATTCAGTCAGCCTAGACAACATCGTCACTGTTGCCACTTCCGTCAATGTTGACAGTGTTGACACCGTACCTGTCTACGCCATGAAAGAGGAAGGTTAACGCACGTACGTGCCACATCAGGATGTAGATGGCGACCCGTCCGTCAGGAAGTAATGAGTTTGTTTCGATGCAACTATATAGTGTTGTCTGTAAATAATCGAGTCTGGACCAAACAATCTAGTGATCAACAGCATGAGCATTGACCTACGCAGTTGGAATACGATGGCACGTGTCTACCAAGTCATCCCGTTAGTCGCCCCTTATGAAACGCATGGTTGCTTGCAGGCCAATTCTAACCTGGATCTTCACGGTGACTATTCAGAAGGAAAATGGTGACCCTGCCAGTCACAGGCAGCAATGATATTTGTCTGTTGTATATTCGTGACTGAACTTAGTCACAACTGAACAAACGGACACGAGCGTTATCGTGCACAATGACACAAACGGGCAGTTTCCGATAACACATGTATTAATAGTAACATATCAGCTTGAAGTATCTGCCTGTCTGGGTTGGTCACAGTATAGCGAAGCTGTTTTGAAATAATTCAAGATCCACTTGATGCTGAGAGTGACAGGTAGTATATAATACTTCAATGTCACTATTAGTTTAGTTGATGTTTTATACCCAGAAATAACATGATAAAATGTTTGGGATATCTGCCTTTGACCATGTAAATTCCAGCTTACTAAACCTGTGTCGTTGCGATATTTGCCTTTCACCTTCCTAGTCACAACACCTGTCTCTATATACGTACAAAGTCGCCAGTCTGACAGCATAGGACATAATATCTTGATTAGCCCGAAAATATTTCATATGAATTTGTAAAATGTGTACATTATTTAAGTTTACACGATTATGGATAAGTATTGTATTTTACCATCTGTTAGGATGATTTGAACCAGGCAATGGTACACAATTTAGTGGTAACTATCAGTTAAATCAAATTTACAGCCATTATAATTTCGTTTTGTACCACTGATTTTCCAACACAGCATAATCTCATAATTTTTGACACACGAATTAGAAGCCAACTATATATATGGAGTATTGTCAAAGGGGGGTAAGTTTGTGATCAGCTTATGTTAAGAGTACTGACGAGTCTTGATGTCACTGGATGAATGTTGTAGCATTGGCAACACTCGAAGCGGTGCGACACCGCGTGCGCGCAGTGTTGAGACAACGCTATCTAATACAGCGGTGTGTAAACCGACACTACTGATCGTTACCTGACAATTACTATTGATTACTTCCCAACAACACCAGGCGCTCCTGTAGTGACGTAAACACTGCTGTGTAACTACCCGTACACTGGGTCTGTCTGACATAGCTGCGACGCAGAAACACACTTTCAGTACATTGCCAAGTACGACTGAGGAGTTTTGATGTTGAGAACGACAGGTAAATAAGGCGGCTTTTTGTAATCTGATAGCTTATATCAGTGTGTCTGTGTGAAATATATGTGTTTGGGTCATTTTCAAAATTGGTAGGACTTTCAATTCTTTATTACAGTAAAATCAAACTCATGAAAATTGATTTAGGTTTTATTCAAATGAAATCTCAAATACTTAATTATTCAATAATACAAACATGCAGGCTCAAATTTACTAACTGGCCTTTTAATTGATACATAAGTAATTAATAGGGTGAGGGAAAGTCCTGACGGTTACCACTTCTTAATCAGAATAAGGATTTTATAATATAATTCATAAAAATCTTTTAAAGATGGCATACACAGCTTTTACACCGACTTAATCAAACTTGAAGGTAAAAACTATAATCATTATTTTTGAAAGTGTTATTTTGTATCTTTCATTTATTTACCACAAAATAATTGCATTTTTCTAAAACATTATTATGCATATAGCTTTCCGCAGGTAATATTGTCTAAAAATCACATCAGCTACTAAGCCCAGGACATCTTTTGATGACACCAGCATAAAGAAGAGTGTTTCATGTATTATCATGAATTAATTAGAGTAGTCAATTAACACCAGTAACGGTTAGGACAATAGTGGTAACGGTTTGGACAGGAATGGTAACGGGCTGGACATAGACCTTAAACAATTTAATTCAACATAGAAACAGGTAACATGAAAGGAAATAAATATATTATTTACTTCAACTGCTAACCCCAATTTTGGACAGACAGTGAAATGAGTATTAGAAATTGTAACTTGTAACAAATGTGACAAGTTTTCTTCCATGCTGTGGTAACGGTTTGGACATTTGTTATATCAATATGAAACTTGTGAATGAACTTAGGCTTTTGAATAAAAACAAACTGTAGCTTCTAAAGAATAGAAAAACACACCTGTCTAGGTTGAAATCACTTTTAATCTAAAGAAGAGTGCAATTTGGGAACAAAGATTGAATGAATAGTAACGGTTGTGACATTATTGGTAACGGTCAGGACATCAGTGTAACAAACAAATGTTATCCCTCTAAAAAGTTGCAAAAGATTAAATTCTGAAAGGTACTGCAACAACTATGATACTGTACACATGGTCATGCTACACAGGCCACTGCATAGATATCATTTTCCTGTTGATATTATGGTGCAATATTAGTCTCCACGAAATATACTTCTTTCATTCACTCGGATACCTTTAGTTTTTGTTAATCGTGAGATGGTAACACATATTTATCAAATACAAAGGTTTGGCCAACATATTAGCACCTAGCAAATATTCAAAGTAAATGGTAGCCTTATATCTCACAGTTAAAGTTAAAACAGTTTACACCCAAAAAATCTTTAAAGGTTGGAATACTGAAAGTTGTTTACCGTTTCTACATTTTGTCCAAACTGTTACCATAGATGTCCTAACCGTTACCTCTAATTTATAAAGACTATAGATCTTATAGAAAATAGAAACTTAACGTGATAAATTCGTTTTGGTTTTTATTATTTAAAGCAGATAGATAAGTAAATAAAAAAATTATTATCACAGCATGGAACATATTCTTTAAAAATGAAATTTATTAAAGATATGTCCAGACCGTTACTATTATTTGTCCAAACCGTTACTAGAGAGAGTTTTTTATGATACTACATCAAAACTCCTTTGAACAGTAAAATTCCATGCTTAAACTTATCTTAACCCTTAAAATAATTATAAATTTGTTATATTTCAAATATTAATGAACAATTTTTTGAAATACAAATCATTTTGTCCAGACTGTTACAAGGACTGTCCACACCGTTACTTTGCATAATGGTAACGGTTTGGACAGTAACGGTCAAGACAATTTGTAAATAAATCTAAAATAAACAAATGAATGATCCCTAAAAGATTTCAAAGGACATGCCTTCCACCTCTTCCATTTCTGGGCAACATATCCATTGAAGAAATGTAAAAAACCAAAGAGATATATTTGACACAAAAGACATTGGTAACGGTCTGGACAATTAAGGTTGACACATAACATTTATACTTATTTGATGGTGTCAATTTTCTGCAAAATGTGTTGAATTTCATTATTTCATCTGCTGTCACATCCACAGGGGCTAGCTCAAGCAGACACAGGAAGTAGAATTACAATCCAGCTCCAGGGGGAAATTATTGCAGGAATTGCATACACTGGTAACGGTCAGGACACAAAATCACAGGACAAGCATGTTACAATTTGTAGAAAAAAACTTTTTAAGTTAAAAAAAAAATTAAATGCAGTTTGAGTATGCCTGTTCAATCCTAACTGGCATAATATGAATTAGTTTGTTTATTTGCATTTATATTTACATTATTTGTGAACATTGATGTTAGGACCGTCACCTCGGACGGAGCAAATCTGCCAATTTTGACCCTAAAATGTGGCTAAATATAAATTTCAAAATGACAAGACTAATGATATACCACATTTACTGACGAGTAAACTTCTAAATATGTTTTCTAGCACAAAAAAAAAATCCTTTTAAGTTAACAGATTTTTTAAATATTTGGAACGGACAGAAAATCCTACCAAGTTTGAAAATGACCCGTATATACTCTTAAAAAGAAGTAGGGGGACTTAATTTTCATTTACGATTGAAAATAATTGTGAAATATACCGGGGTCAGTCAATGCTGATGTGATAATAATGAATGTTGAGAGAGTGTATCACCACCAGCACTTCCTTATGATCATAGTTGTTTGTACAGTAATCGCTCTTTAAAGATGGTATGGTGTATGACGTACAATTTGCATGTGAACGATTTCATTTCCAAAAATAATGAAAAACAACGGCCAATGGATGGGTGTGTGAGTGAGTGAATGAGTGAGTGGGTGGATGGCTGGGTGAGAGAGTCAGTGAGTGGCTAAGTGGGAGGGCGGATGGGAGGGTGAGTGAGTGAGTGGGTGGGTTATGGGTGAGTGTGTGATTGAATGAGTAGGTGAGTGAGGGTGGGAACTGAGTCTTTTTGCATAAAAATAAGGCGCCAGCAACACGGTCAAGGACACGATATACAGGGGCCCATGGGGCCTTACGGTACGTCAGATACACAATGCCATAGCTACACTTAATACATGAATACAAATGCAAATATGCACACAGATATTCACATCATATGCATTGCTCTATGATATGTGTGTGACAAACGCGGTACTGTTTCTTATCAGCATAAACAAAGTCCACCGTCGCATGTGACTTAAGTATTCATGACTAAGTCGGTGACTTGTGATATTGTACTGAGCTGACAACTCAATAGTGAAAATCAATATATACGCATGGCAGAGCATATTTTCCTGGTGATAGTTTGCTGCAGGATGTAATGAGATACGATACATGAATGGTGGGCGCGAACGTTATGGCATGAAGCCAACAAGAAGCAATATTTCAGTGTGATGTATTTCGTCCTGGAACATGTGAGCGCTTCTACCCCATAAAAACCTCTACATGTTGTGTAAGAGCAGCTAGTTGAACACCACGATCGATAAAAAGTAAGAGTGGACAGTAACAATATCCATAAATAAGGTATAGCGATTGCCACATGTTTAAAGCTGCCACGCTTGAGGTCAACGTGACGTGTGTAGTTCTATATGTGCATTGAGATTGGCATGCACTAAAGCCAAAGCCTGGGCTGTCTTTAAATGAGAACGATCTATGGCATTGTTGGTGTTATAGATCCTTGTAATCGCAAATAGTACGCGGAGTATTCCAAATTAATATTGTCGTAACTGCATTCGGGCGTCAGTAAACCTTACAACAGTTACCTACTACTTATCCGTGGTCCCTAGCATGGTGATCAACCTTCAGTTGTTGGCGATCTATAGCCTGTTTTTATATTGTATCGTCCTCTATAGTTACAGTATTTCAGTGTTAATTACTAGTGTTTAATTGAAATATGTGATAAACTAGTTGTTTTACTGTCCTTCGCTGACAGTTGTTTTCATGATTTACTTTTATCTATTTTAACTTGTTTGTAGTCACGATAAGGCTGAAATATTGCCGATGTGATTTAAAATTTTAACTCACTCACTCACTTACTACTTGTGGTCGTTCAACATCGTCAGGGGAGATAGTAGCTCAGGCTCTCCACTCACATGGACCGTTGCAGGATGCTAAGTCTCGGGATGACGGGTCAGATGACCACATTACATTCATGTACTGGCACACATATATTCGCAGATAAACACAACATCAGGTTCTATACTCACATAGGTGTACTACTCTGTCTCAGTCCATCTCCCTAACTACAACTACACCACAAGACTGGGTCTCCATGTACCACAAATGTAGAGCTTGCACTACTCGCTCTGCTCTACTAGTGTTAAACATGCCTTTCTAACTGTTCGAACCTAGCCTGATCTTGGTCAAGGGAACAGGACAATTGCCACCAAGGACAACTGCCACCCAGGACAATTGTCACTCAGGACAATTATCACCCAGTTATTTTTACTATCATAGTGAGACATATCTACTAATATAATTGAGACAATGACAAAACTTAAGCATTGAATAGATAAAAAAAACGCTCAAACTTGAAAACCTGTTAAATTAAATTCCACACACAGACTTTAACAATCTGTGGGTAATCAATGCAAGAAAAAGACTACAGGAATTAAATAGACGCTTGCACAATGGGGAAAAAGACACTTGACTCTGATTGGCAAAATAAATGTAATAAAATGTTTTGGTTTTGTCAAAACTTGTTCATATATTCAATACTTTGCCTAATCCTCCAAAGGATTTCATTACTTCATTAGAGAATATCGTCTTCAAATTCATATGGAATGACAAACCTGGCGCAAACAAAACGGATGCGCTGCAACTTTTTGTGAAGCATTGAAACAAGCTAATCTGAGATCACATTGCAGAAAACCAACCATTGAAGCCCCCTGTAATATTCCTTTTGATGTCATTTTAAAATCTGATTACAAACGTTGATCAAGTAACTCACATTGGTAACCCTTATTGGAAGGATGTTTTGAAGGTATGAAACAAATATTGTCATGTTTCTGGAGATATTTATGAAATCTTAGCCCAACCACTATGGTTTAACCATAATTACAAAAACTTAACACATTGCAACACAAACAGGGCAAGTGAAGGAATTCTTACAATTAAGGATCTGTGTGCTAAATCTGGTTTCTTATCCTTTGACAAGTTGAGGGCAATTGATGGTATTAAAGGCACGTATTTGGACTATTTGCATGTTTTTAATATACTACCTGATTCTTGGAAATATATATCATTAGACACTCTAGAAACATCCCAGCTTTTGATTCACCCATAACTGAATGTCATTTGAATTTACTGAAATCATACACAGGCTCAAAATGATTTAAATGATGCCTTGACTTCTAATGAAGAGTTACCTCAAGTGTGACTTAAGTGGCAAGCATCTTTTGCTTACGATACTTTTGATTAGAATATGATTTTTATGACTGACAGATAATGTTTGAAAGATGTCAAACTGCTTGATTACAGGTTTTCACATGGTATTATCTATACTAAAACAAATTTTTAAAAATTAACATTGCTGACGATTTAGTTTGCTGTTTTTGTAATGAGCGGAATGAGAGTATTTGTCACGTTTATTGGGAATGTAGAAAAACACATTCTAGAATGAACTTGAAGTTTGGGTCAGCAGTCATATAGAGAACACAATTGAAATAACAAAATACCTTGTTTAGTTAGGAACAATATACATTGATAGATTATTGAATCATATTATCTTATCTTCAAAACAATATATCCATTTATTTGGGAATATTTGCATCCACCAAAACTTCAAAGGCTTAGGTTGTTTTGAGAGAAAGTTTCAATGTAGAAAAGTTCATTGCAAGTGAAAATAATATTCTTCAGAATCATGACAAAAATGGCTCTCTATGTTTCCAACTCAACAATATACCTTGACTCACTATTGGTATGTATGAATTCTATGTGCCAAACTCGGAAAATACTCTATAACGATGTACTCTTGCGAACAATAAAACTAACAAAAACTCAAGCCCCCAACAACTTAAGACATATTTACTAACATAATTGAGGGAATGTATTGAAAGCACTAAGAATGCTTAACATTTAAGTGCAAAGAAGATCAAGTGTTCAGAAACCAATTTATTGACCAACTGTCTTAAATATAGAAGAAAAAGAAAGAAGAAGAAAAAAAGAAATGTTTATTTAAGTGCCTGGTGATAGATGATTGATAAGTACGACATTGATCAGTAACAATCGCCTGGCCATCTGGGTCCTATTAGTCCAAGGCTTGCTAAATGCAATGTTTATTCTTAATGCAGGGTATTAATCATACCTAAAACACACTCGCGTGATAACCTACGAGGAGTGTTCCTAAAGCAGTCGGCCTAACAATATTCTCGATGTCCAATGTTAGAAAACTTCCATTTCATTTTGAAGGGTACATTAGCAAATCCATATCCAAAATTTCACATATGTGGGTAATGTGGTTAACGAGATATTACTAATCACAACACATTGGGGTATAATATTTCTTTAAAAATTGCAGAAACTGAAAAACGATGTGTCATTTTATACTTCTTGGATAATGGTTTGCTCTCATATATAATACGTTCAGTATAGTATTGGATGACTTCCGGTCATAATAAACATTAAACAATTTAGATTGCTTGATTTATTTTTAAACTGGCCTGTTTTTAATGGAAACCTCCATTTCGATCTTTCAAAAACATTGATAAAAAGTCCAACAAGAAGGAGATCGTTAGGCTGGAACATGGCAAAAGCAATTTGCTTGAGGTTGACAGATAATATGTAGAAAAATAAAACATAAAAACAGCTGCATTTGTATAATTTTCTAGGTGAGGCCGGCTACTTTTGGAAACGCCCCTCGTATATTTGTCATACAATGGATAGCGTTCTCGGTAGGATGAAGCCAACGGATGTTTTCAGTATCCGTTGGGGTCGTTTACGGATGTCGATGCAAGTTTGAGAGGTCATATGCAAATTTTATGGACTACTTTCACAGTGTAAACATACATGGCGTCACGCCCATCTATCGGCGATCGTGTCCGGATTGACGGCTTGGGTTACGGTACTGTCAGTGCTTTGAGCCAAGAAAATTCATGTCTGGCAGTGATAGATGGAGTGGATTACGAAGTGAAGATAAAACTTCATGGGCTTACGAAGATACTAACCCCAGCTCCACGATGTCAGTGTTAGCGATCAGAACATGTCACACGAACATAAAAGTGTATTTGTTGTTCAAATGGTTAATTGAAGGTTTCTGAAGTTCCACACGAGTTTGTTGTTATTTTTCAAACGTAGGTAAGATTTGTTGACAACAATACGTGCTTTAACACACAAGCTTTAGCATTAGGATTAAACACTATGTATTTATCTCGCCAAGGCTCGGAAAATACAACATTTATTCCTAATGCAGGATATTAACTATTGCACAATACAGCCGCGTGATAACCTATATGTATCCGTTTTGCGTTTCTTTTTGGGGATAGTATATGATTTTGTTCGAACGGGAAAAACAGTTTTGTATCGTTACATTATTTCATGTGTAAACGTTTCTGGTTTTGAGGCTGTTTGAATATTTATTGATCGAGGATCGAGGTTATGAATCTGACCAAACGCATTCGTTGGAGAGCTCTCGGATGGTAGTTGAGGATGGAGGAATGACGGGAGACAAATGTCAGGCATGAAGAGTTGATGATGACAGCAGCCATGTTTATTGTAGTTGGGGAATAATGGTCGAAAGTTGATGGTTAACACGTGGCAAAAGGCACACCGGACCGAGTGGCCAATACACACATGCAGAAGTCGGACGGCGATTCTTCATCGTCGACGTAATCGTTGGTGAGGCGTTGACCTTGGCCGACGCCCCGACTTGCCGCACAATCCCTCCGCTTTTGTCGATGAACTGGGCCCGTCGTCTTGACTGGAGACCGTCTCTCCGGCTCGTCTCTATGAATCGTCTCCTTGACTAATCATGTCAGTCAGGTTTTATACATAGAGACTTACGCCACGTTGTGCAAGGTCACTGACCTATGCTTATGTACACTCGTAAGATCCGCCGACGTAGGGAAGTGTTAATTGACATCTACCGATAGCATTGATAATTAAGGGTCCTGCCCGTGTGCGTGCGTCCGTGCGTGCGTGTGTGCGTGTGTGCGTGTTTAATGTCAGATTATATACACCGAATGTTACCTGAATACTTTAAACAGACAAAAGTGATAGAATTTCAGTGTGTGTACTTGTTGGGATTCTGTTTAAGCATTGTTCATGTGTGTTTTAAGCCCGTCTGTGATTGTTTCGATATATATCAAATATATACAGACCGCCAACATATAGCTGGAATGTTGCCGAATTCGGGGTTAAACAACAAACAAATCATAATAAACAGTGAATGTGTTCGTGCCATTAGCTACCTAAAGAGATCAAAATGAGCTACGAATTTAGCACACCGAAGATCGAGCTGACTTTCTGGTTGAATTGTCCAGTTAGTTTTATGCAGTTCATTTGTCAGTTTGACATCCTTAAAACGTTCACTATGTTTACAGAACTGGACATGGAGTGTAACTGGTGGCGCCATGCAGGCTCCAAATGACCGTGAGTATCCGCTGACATTATCACAAAGTACGAACCCATGCAGATCCGGGTTAGAATTGGGCTCCAGCAACCCATGATATTCCAGTAATATGACGGCGGTCTGTATTAATCGAGTCTGTAGTTATCAGCATGAACATCGATATACGGAATTGACTTACTATGCCATGTTTCAACCAAATCAATGAGTCTGACCACCCGATCACCTTAGTCAACAAGCATGGGTTATTGAAAATCAGTTCTAACCGGGATCTTCACAGGTCTCGTTTGTTGTAAGGGTATTGGATATCACCATACCTGCACCATACTACCTCCCGAACTATCATAAACATCGACATTGTATGCCTTCCATACCTAACTGAGACTGTATGCTTAAGTTATTTTCAAATATTATATTTGTCTTTTGCAGACTGTGAAACCTGCTCTGAACTTTTGAAGTGTATAGAGGATTTCGACCTTCCAGAGGACAATGTGTTACTAATTGATGTAGATGTTAAGGTAATAAACACACCTCTTGGTAAATTTAATAAGAAGGAACGACAAGACGAGAGGAAGAGTTTTGTTAACAAGCTTAAGAAAAATATATCAGCTCTGAGGAACACAGCAGGGGGTGTAGTGCTGGTTCACCTACAGGGATTAACATCAGAAGACAAATGCCTCGACTACTTCCATGAAATAGTCGATGTGAAACTGAATGATATGATCGAAGATGGCAGTCTCTTTGTGCAAAGTTACCAGAAGGATTGGCTTCAGGGCAACAAAACAAACAATGACAATAACAGTCGTTTTCAAGGATTTGTTGCCATCCATGTAACAGGTTCTCGCATTGTGACAACGCTCGACTTCAATTCGTACGTCAATTCGGGACATACCACAGATCAATGAACGGCGAAACATTCAACTAAAACGTTTTGACACTGCCAAGGAACATACATTGCAAAGTGTTGACACATTCAAAGACTTTCTTTGGAAAGAATGTCGGTTAGGTGAATATATAAGTGCCTTTTCTAAGTTAAATGGTGGTGGGTCTTTCTTCCTTGGCATCAACGAGAACGAAGAACAATACGGTGCCTACACATCTAAGACGTTTTCATCAACTGGCATAAAATTCAAAGATTCGAATTTTCGTCAAGAGACCGAAGCGGCCATCTTCCAGTCTTTGCAGGAGAATACTGTTATCGTGACATACAGTGGAGAGCAACTGGAAACTCCTCACAACACTATTCAAGTTGCATTCCATCCCGTAACGGCAGACAGGTTTGTGCTGGAGGTTGCTGTTGCAGCAGTAGATGGTTTACTGTTTTATGACAAGGAAGGCCCAGAAGCTTACGAGTATGAAAATAGCAGACTGAAGAGGTTATTGATCACAGATTGGTACGAAAGGTAAGGTAGTTATATTTGTTGGCATTTGTTACTGACAAAATAATGAAACACGTTTTAAACTTAAAGACAAAACACTTTCCATATTCATACGATTCCTCTCAAAAAAAATGTGAGTTCCTTGAATGATTCCAACTATACCAAGTCACGTGTCAGGCGGCCGAATTCCGATGATACCTGGCATTCGCGAAAAGGTGTGCATGTTTTTTAAACCATGACTGTGTAGATTATTTTCAGCGTAACAACTATATATATATGCATTGAACGTAAATAAGCACCGACGTATATATTTCATCAAAGGGGACCGTTCATTATTTATGGTGGTGGTGGTGGTAGTGATGGGGCTGATGATGATGGTTTTAAGGGGGGTTACCCAGTCTGTTGTCGATCCCTCTAACAAAAAGGCTCGGAGCATAGTCGATGGAGGATGGGGAGGTGGAGGGCACAGACGGAGTAAATTTGGAACGCTTGTCAGCAGGTGCGTGTGGCGGTCCTTGATGCATACCAGTCCTTGTTAGAGTGGGCCGCAGTCGTGTTTCAATTAGCGTGGTCTTCCTCCATCCACTGACTGGACATTAGGCCCACCTGACGCGAGACTCGTTGCTGTCAGTTGCGTCTCAGGCTATGTGTGAGGTTAGGGGCCTGTGCCGGCTGTGGCTGGGCTCGACCTTTTTTCCTGGGGTTCAACAGGATATTCCGGAGGCTGTTAAAGCAGCTGCGGCTTGCTCGCACCTGTAGCTCCTATGACTGGCTCTTCCTCAGTGATACTGCCTAAATCCGACTCTTCTTCCTGGTTACTGCTGGGTAAGAGTAGCAGGGAGAGCCGTGCTAAGGGAAAGTGCAAAGGGCATTGTGCATCCTTTTTGCAGTGGCGGGGGTTCTGCCCTGACCCCCCTTCTAGGTCTGCAGAGGACCCATGTCGTCTAGATTCTGCCGTTGCTTGGCACCAAGAGACCCACTCGCTCTTATCCAGTGTTCCTGTGGACGCTCATCTATGTTATTTACCACAGTGGAAGGGATCAGACCGGGACAAGGCGACAGTTCTTCAGGATGAAAAAGTTGCTATAGACTATGTACCGTTGGGTTAGGAACACCGAGGTCTCAATCCACGTACACCAAGAGAGATATCCATCCCATACACCAAGTCAACCAGCTAGTCTTGACTCTAGACATGAGGTGCTACAAATTCTAGTCCGACTGTGGTGGATCGTTGACCTTCCTCTCTCGCCCAATCGTATTACCAGAGTACCGAAAATTGTTTTGCGCCCCCAGGCCCCGGCTCAGATGTGGCTACGTTTGCTGCGTCCTTCAGGTGACTTAGGCGTTCCTACTGTGGTGCGGCAGCTTGGCTACTTATGCTTCTGGCAGTTCTTTGGCTGCTGCAGAGCTGGTTTCCTGTAGTCCTGTTCTATTAACTTTATGGCCGGATGTTCTCATTCGGAATGGGGCACCAATTTTGAACATGCTTTTCCAGTCTCGATCATCCATGTCTATTTCCGCTTTTGACATCCCTGTCAATTGTACTCTTCTGGGGCAGCACCCTCTTGTATACATTGTTTTGTTGGCTCTTTACCGAACCAGCCCATCTTGCGAATTGCTATTCTCGAATTTCAAGTCTATGGTCTCTCTCACTTCATTTGTTGATGTTAGAGACTGCTTTCGTTGTGGCACTGGCCCCTGGTACAAGTGTCGGGAATCGAATCAGTATTTACCTCCCAGATAACTACCACCCTAAGATTGATCATACTTTCCACGCGACATTTCCTATCCAGCTTGCAACTTTTACCCAACCTTCCACATCAGGGACCGCTCCTTTGAGTGTTCACTCGTTTTATGTCCTCAGAGCCCCCAGGGTTTATCAAACTCCAAAGGGTTCTGCTGTGATGGTGGCGGGAAAGACTTGTGTAGACTTCCATTTCTTGTTGCAACTGCCCATTGCGTCAATGAGCTCTGTTCCACTGCTGTTTATTGCCACCCGATAATGATCGTGCTTGGTCATTCAGTTTTCTCCAGTGGACAGTGTCTTGCCACCCTGATCAAGTGAGTCTGGTCATTGGTGTCGGATCTGTGTTCAATCTCTGTTATTGATATATCCAGTGAAGGGTCATATCACTACATCATGTAGCCTTACCATCCTTTCATGTCGGGGATTGGGTGTATGTGCGTCTCTTACGTCCTCTTCGCCTAAAGGAATGAGAGGGCGGGCTGGGTTATGAATGCAATCACAAGATGTATGATATTAATACATCTTATGATGGAAATGGGTACGAACCCCAACAGGTCACCGCCTAGGATACCTCCCTTCGAGCTGCCCATCACGTGACAGGGTAAGTGTAATGGCGGGCCAACACTAGTTTGTTTTTGTATGCTAAAATAATTACCCTCCTCCTGAGCCTTCGGTCTTTGGGAGTATGTGTCAATACATATATGTATCTCAACGAAGACCTCTTAGCCAAAGCTGTAGATGTTTTCAATTCTTTGAAGAGAAATCTCCTTGTGATAGGACCTCCCACCTCCCGCGAATTCTGTTCTCTGATGTTTATCTTTAGCAGAAGGAAGGATGTTTGGGGGCTGGAATACACTTGGCGACTCCCGAGTTTTTATTTATACAACATATTTTATTAAAACATTCAAACTGTCACAGGACATTTTCAGCCTCAGAAGATTTATGTACCCAGGGAAGACTCTAGTCAAAGAATATAAAATCCTTACAGGTTTGGCTAATCTGCCTCGGGAACGTATGCAGGCTCTCATGAGGAGAAGGGTGGAGGTTGTCATCCAGGCATGTGGAGGATACACGAGACATTGATTTCAAACGCCTCCGATGATTTCAAGGGGCCTATACATACATCGATCATGTTTCTTGCCAGGACAATATTTATTCAATGGACTGCTTTTTCCCCCAATCCCCCAAAAAGGAAAACAAAAACAAATACAAAAAACACATGAAAAAACCCACAACAAAACAAAACAAAACAAACCCCAAGAAAAAACCCCAACAAAAACAAAACAACAACAAAAATACAAACCAAACAAACCAAAAATAAAACAAAACAAATAAAAAAATCCCCATGAAAACACTAGTGTGGATATTTCTTAGGTACAAAGTATACATATTGTCAACATTCCGTTGCTTTTCTGTACTCAATTACTCAATTACTCTTCCTTCCATCCGATAATCAGGCATTACAACCCCACTGGAAGTATGAATTTCCGACACCTTTCTGTTGATGTCATTTTTCTAAAACAGGTGGTGCTTAGTGTGCTTAATGTGGTGCGTATATGACTTGGTAATGATTCCAGATTGTGTATCGAGACTGATGGCGATGCTGAAAACTAACATGGCACTATCTGAAAAAGACAGTAACCAATGTTTAGATGGTATGTTGGCGTTTTTACATTTATGTTACAATGGTATTTGGTGCATAGTTGTCAAATATTGACAACGCCTAATAATTCTTTCCGTCAGGAGATTTCGTTTGATTTAGTGACTTCCTGAAAACTTGTACAGCACAAATCACATTCAGTTTCCTATTCGATTAAGTTTCCTGGCAGCAGCCACATCGATATTGTAAGTTTACTAACTTTTGTCAACGCTCAGAGAAAGTCTTTTGCATTTATAGCTATTTTTTGTGTGTCTAAATGGCAACCCTGCTGTAGTGTAATTATTGTTTTTTGTGGTCTAAATGTCAACCCTGCTGCAGTGTCATTATTGTTTTTTGGGTCTAAATGGCAACCCTGCTGCAGTGTAATTATTGTTGATTGTCTAAATGGCAACCCTGCTGAAGTGTAATTTTTTTTGTCTAAATGGCAACCCTGCTGCAGTGCAATTATTGTTTTTTGTCTAAATGGCCACCCTGCTGCAGTGTAGTTATTGTTTTTTTTGTCTAAATAGCAACCCTGCTGCAGTGTAATTATTGTTTTTTGTCTAAATGGCAACCCTGCTGCAGTGTAATTATTGTTTTTTGTCTAAATGGCCACCCTGCTGCAGTGTAATTATTGTTTTTTTGTCTAAATGACAACCCTGCTGCAGTGCAATTATTTGTGTGTGTGTCTAAATGGCCACCCTGCTGCAGTGTAATTATTGTTTTTTGTCTAAATGGCCACCCTGCTGCAGTGTAATTATTATTTTTTTGTCTAAATGGCAAGCCTGCTGCAGTGCAATTATTTGTGTGTGTGTCTAAATGGCCACTCTGCTGCAGTGTAATTATTTTTTTTGTCTAAATAGCAACCCTGCTGCAGTGTAATTATTGCTTTTTTGTCTAAATGGCAACCCTGCTGCAGTGCAATTATTTGTGTGTGTGTCTAAATGGCCACCCTGCTGCAGTGTAATTATTGTTTTTTGTCTAAATAGCAACCCTTCTGCAGTGTAATTATTGCTTTTTTGTCTAAATGGCAACCCTGCTTCAGTGTAATTATTGGTTTTTTTTTGTCTAAATGGCAACCCTGCTGCAGTGTAATTATTGTCCTTTTATTTTGTCTAAACGGCAACCCTGCTTCAGTGTAATTATTTTTTTTTGTGGTCTAAATGGCAACCGTGCTGAAGTGTAATTATTGTTTTTTTGTCTAAATGGCAAACCTGCTGCAGTGTAATTATTGTTTTTTGTCTAAATGGCAACCCCGCTGCAGTGTAATTATTGTTTTTTTTGTCTAAATGGCAACCCCGCTGCAGTGTAATTATTGTTTTTTTTTGTCTAAATGGCCACCCTGCTGCAGTGTAATTATTGTTTTTTGTCTAAATGGCAACCCTGCTGCAGTGTAATTATTGTTTTTTTTGTCTAAATGGCAACCCTGCTGCAGTGTAATTATTATTTTTTTGTCTAAATGGCAACCCTTCTGCAGTGTAATTATTGTTTTTTTGTCTAAATGGCAACCCCGCTGCAGTGTAATTATTGTTTTTTTGTGTAAATGGCCACCCTGCTGCAGTTTAATTATTTTTTTTGTCTAAATGGCAACCCCGCTGCAGTGTAATTGTTGTGTTTTGTCTAAATGGCAACCTTGCTGCAGTGTAAGCTGATATTAACATAATGTGACATACTTTTGTTGCAAGCTTAGGCCCATTGTGAAGAGATCTGGATGACACTCGAACAAACTTGGTTAAGTTAGATTACTGTTTCACAAAGGCTGGCTTTACATTTGCATCCCTGTGTGAAATGACATTTGATTTTCATTGCTGCCTATTTCATTTTCTGTATTGCCTATTGTGATAGTTTACCTTCTGTTTCAATGGTATACGTACAGAGAACCTAACGGACCTTCCTGTCGAGAGGGTAGACACAAGGGGCCTGTATCAGAAGAGGCCTCCCTGCAAGCAGATTGAGAAAAGTCTTGAGGATATTGAAGCCATGGTTTTGCAAGGAGGTGAGGGCTTGAGTTTAGAACTAAAGGTTTAGTTGTGTGATAACTCTTTTAGATTTCGATTTTATCGCTGATTCTGTGTCATTTATAAAAATATCACCATTCATGAAATATGACGTTTCATTCACAGGCCCAGAAACAATCAAAATATTTCCCAAGAGTTTTCCAGAAGAAGAGGCTTATACTAATTTGAAGACAAGACTCAATGAACTGTCGACAGTGGACAATGTTGGTCTTGCATACATCGCAAATTCTCTCCCGGTTACTGCTAATATGGACATTAAGTACAAGACTCCCGGAGAAGTTATTATGGACGTGTGTCTGTTCAGACAGCGAAGTCCGGCGGTTATTTTTTCTGTTGTGACAGATGTATCCAAGAATATGAAACTTAATCAACGATACAACTCTGCTGTCTCGAAAAACGTTACAAAGAACGTTCGGAAATTTACGACCATGACCTTCAACTCTATATACGGGTTAATGCATGAGAAAGACCTCATGTCGAAGGAAACATTTGAGTCATCGCTAGCAAGAATAGAGAAGGAACGATCTCGCCTCTGTATTCCTGATTCTTTGAGTATGAACAACAAGAAGTATAAGCATGTTGTCCGTGCCTTTCTCTCTTCTATGGCAGCAACCGAGTTTGTTAGTGACGAAAACGATGAAACTCTATGGTTTTTGACTCATAAACAGTTCTGTATCCTGACAGAGAACATTGATCACACTGAAGTGCATGTTGATACCTTCCCTGCCAGCGGTGGTCGAGTCCTGTCTCTCACCGTATGCCAGCGTTTACAGAAACTTGGACGAACATTGCTCATATCAGATGATCTCAAACTGATCGAACGTGCAAGGTAATGTTTAATAACATTTCTTACGTAGTACTGTTATTTTGTAAATATGATTCTTCGTCAGTGGTTGTTTGCAACAATTACCATCATATGTTTATATTCTTAGAAACAAATATAAATATATCAGGCTGACCACAGCATGTCCTCAGCATAGTCTGCAAGCGCTGAAAACAGTAGCATCAAACCCTCGTTCGTAGGATGGTATTTCTGATTTGAACACGATTATTGTATACTACATGGGTATAGAAAGATGACAAATAAACAATGTACTAGAATGTCTATAACTTTTCCCCAGAAACCATAATATTGATTGCAAGACGTTCAATGACATTGGACAAAAGGTTCTGGTGGCTGAAGGAAATCACTTCCCTTCCATTGTGATATACCAAGGTGAAGAAGATTGCTCATCTCAGAGTCCACACCTGCCCAAGCTCTTGTCAAATGCACAAAAGTGTTGGATTTTCCATAGACAGAAAGGTAATTGTGAGCAGCTTGCTCCAATGATGTTTGTTGTGGAAGACTGAGTGCGGTGACAATAGTAACTGGCAGGTTAATATATGAAACAGGCAAATTTAAGAACTGCAAACGACTTTATGTATTGTTCAAGCAAATAAAGATCATGCCTTTATGATTAGCATCTATCTTTTTCTACAACCTGCAAGCAAGGTTGGATATTATCAACAAAAGAAGCATAACCATTGTTACGAATTCAAGAGATAATGAATCTAACATTAACTAGTCATGACGAAAGATCTATGTAGTATATGTTGGGCTGGAAAGAATATATGACGTTTTACAGGATCGCTTGAGAAGGAAGATATGCCCAAAAGTCCTGAAAGTGTGACCCATTCACCAACACTGCTTGATTATGGTATGTAAAATCAGCATAATCCTAATACTTGCAAAGAACCAACTGTATGTTTAGAGCTTGATATAAGCCAGGCTAATCAATGCTGTGTCAAATGACAGTAAGATTGACACATACACTCTGTATCTTTATGCGCCCGGGGTGTACTTTTGAAAAGAGAACATTCTGGCAAGGAAGACTCTCAGATCTACTTCTTGTGATAACAACTTAAAAAACATAAATAATCATTTTACAGATGCTGATACAATGGACAAAGTTCGTAATCTTTTAGGTAAGTGGATGTTGTTAAGTCAAAGCAATCCCGATAAATTCTGTTTTAAGCTAGATTCAGTAAAACTCTGTGTTGTTTCATATAGTCGAAATATCTATGAACAATTGCACTGTTATGCTTTGTATGTTGTTTATGATAAAGCTCAATTCATGTACAGACTATGCAATTAGAAAGATTACTCCTTTCTTGTTCCCAGATGACAGCTGCGCTGAAATAGCAATGGGCACCAAGGACGTCCATGTAACATCAGCTGTTGATGAGGTCATCAGCATGTTGGAAGGGAACAATCAGTGGATCACAATCACAGGTCGTCCGGGAGAAGGGAAAACAACCCTTGGGTATATGGTTCTGGAGCAGATGAAGGCTAAAGGAGCGAGAATTTGTATCATTGACAGTCCCAATGATTATGCACTTTTCTCAGCTAACGCATTGACCAACCACGTGTTTATGTTCAAGGATGTTTTGACCTATGCTACTTGTGACCTACAAACAAGGAAACGATGGGTTGAGTTTGTCAATAACTTACATAAAAGCATCAAGGGTGAATGTGACACAAATGTCTGTTTTATCCTTATATGCAACAAACATGACGAGGAATGGAAATATTTGGGTGGATATGCTATGGAAATATTCTACTGGAATGTTTTCAACCTAACCGATCACTTCAGAGAAAATCCTGATGAACGGACCAAAGTTCTTACATACTTTCTGCATAAATACCAGAATACAGACCAAAACATTGAGACAAATATTGCATGTGCTAAGCATGGATTTCTACTCTGCGTTAAACTCTTTTGTGAATTGCGAAAGACAATTCAGACAGAACACGTCCATTCATTTTTCTCAGATCCTATTCTTTATGTAACGAATTTAGTCACTGACCACGCACACGACGAAGGAACCATGACATTTCTTCGCAGTATGCTACAACATGATGAATTCACCTCAACAGAAGAAGCTGTTATTCCAAAGCCCTTGTCGCAATTTCATGGTGTATTCCTACAAGAGGACAATAACATAAGGTTCTGTCATCCATCTGTTCGCGTGGCAGTAGCAATGGTAATGGGAAAGGTAGATCTACTATTTGTTCTTCAGAACTGTAGCTCTACCTTTGTCATTCCACGACTGAAAGTCCAGGCAACAGAAGAGGAGGCAGGATTCTTATACGTCAATGCTGAAAACAAAGAAGTTTTGCGAAAGGTCACATCTACCTTTGCATGTGCTTTGCAAGAGGGCTACTTCGATGTTCTAAGACATGACATGCTCCTTGATGAAACATTCTTTCAACAAGTGTTGAGAGAAGCTAAAAACGTAAGCACTAAATGCTCCAATATCCATGAACTGTTTTATAGATTTGGTGACGAAGTTTCTGTTCTCCCCGATAGAGCAAATGTAAAAAGAAAGATATGGAGGTTTGTTAGTGTTGATATGAGCTGCATTTTATTTGGATTTTTAAAATATAATTTCTAATGTGTTAGGGAGGTAACAAGACACAGATTCTTGTAAAAACGAGTGATGATACTTACGACACATATTATAACAATAAGATGGCCCATCAATCAGGATCCGGTTAAATTTGGTCTTCCGTAAACCACGCTTGTCGTAAGAAGCGACTAACGGGATCGGGTGGTCAGTTTCGCTGAGTTGGTTGGCACATATCTCAATAGCGAAGATCGATGCTCATGGTGTTGACCACAGGATTGTCTGGTCTAGACTCGATTATTTACAGACTACCACCATATAAGTGGAATATTACTGAGTGCCAATCAACCAAACATCAATCAGGATTACCTGTGATGAACATACCCTTCAACCATTCTGTCACTGAAATTAGTACACTGATTTTCAGACACCTGGAAATTCAGTCAGATAAGAGTATTAAAATACGACATATCCTTACCTGTGTTGTCATTTGTATTGATATTGAACTGTCTTTCTATTTTCAGACCTCTTCAACTTTTCTGAACGAGTTGAACACCGACGGGTATTCGTTGCTACACGCAGCCTTGAGACATGGCAACAAAGTTGCGGTACAGGTCCTTCTTGACATGGAAGCAAATGTAAAAGTGAAATGTCACGGCAAATCGGTGTTGCATCTCTTGTGTGAAGAAACTGAATTTGACAAAGATCTCTTTCTCTTATTTTGTGAGAAGGGTGCAGATATCAGTGCAGTTGATGAAGATGGACAAACCATTCTTCATTATTTATGCATGAAGTCAGGAAGCGACACTACAATCCAACTGGTGTTAAAAAGAGGCTGTGACGCTACGGTGACAGATCACAGTAGGAAGACAGCACTACATTACTTGTGTGCTAAAAGACACATCGATAAAGACTTGTTTACAGCACTAATCCAGCGTGACTGTAATGTTAACATGTGTGACAAATGGGGAAAGAACGTTCTGCACTACTTATGTGAAAGTTCAGTGTTTGATCGGGAGATTTTTCATATTGCGTTTAGCCACAGGGTTGATGTTTCAGCTATAGATATCTTCGGTAACACGCCGCTGCATTATGCTGCTGAAACGAGCCATCCACTCAAGGTCATTGATCTTCTCATACAAAATGGATCAAACATCAACTGTAGAAATGCGCGTGGAGACACCATATCTCTTCGGCTTTGTAAGTTCAATGTATTACAAAGAGATCTGTTGGAGTATTTGATTAGACATGACACTGATGTAAATGCTGCAGATGAGGATGGAAAGACAATCATTATGATTCTTGCCGAAAATGGGAATCTAAATGCCGAAATGCTAGATTTGTTAATGAAGGCTGGCTGCGATGTCAACAAACAAGATGCACTCGGTAACACACCACTACATTACTGCTGCATCAGTGGTGATGTGAATGAAACCCTACGCTGCCTGCTGGAGTATGGTGCAAATGTAAACCACTCCAATACTTATATGAAGACCCCACTTCATTATGCTTTTGAACGCATGGTTCCTCGGGTCATTGAACAACTGATCCACTACGGTGCTGACACAAATGCTACTGACAAGGATGGAATGACACCATTGCTTTTTCTTTGCGAAAATACAAGAACAACGATAGACATATTCACGTCGTGTTTGAACGCATTGTTAGAAGGGAAATGTGACTTGAACAAATCCGACAAGGAAGGAAAAACTGCTCTGCATTATGTCTGTGAAAGGCAGAAAAACACAGATATGGCATGTGTGTTGATTCAAGCGGGGGCTAAGGTCAACATGAGAGATAACCATGGTAGTACACCACTGCACTATATCTGTGCATGGGAAGGCGTAAAGGATTTATCAGTGATGGTGAATATGCTGATCAACCAAGGTTCACGCACGAATATTTGTGATGAGTGGAAACGAGTCCCACTTCATATTTTGTGTAAAGCAAACGATATTGACCAAGATACTCTTAAGATCTTGTTAAACAATGGCGGTACCGTAAATGCGAGGGATGTTTTCAAGAAGACTCCACTTCACTACGCTTGTGACCATACACCTGTCAACAGAGAGGCTATAATGTTGTTGATACATGGACGTGCTGATGTGAACATTGCAGACGGAAACAAGCGAACCCCTCTTCATGTATTGTGCATGCAAAAGCATATTGACAAAGAAGCTGTGAATATTCTTTTGGAGAAACGCGCCTTTGTTAACACTACAGATGAACACGGTAAGACAGCTCTTCATTATGTAAGTCAAAATGAGTCGTCAACGAAAGAAATTGTGTCCCTGATATTACAAAACGGTGCTGATTTAGACAAGACAGATGGTTTAGGCATTTCCGTCTCAGAGTACCTTTTGAAACGGACAGATCTGAAACAAATTGTACCTTTGGCCATCTTGAAGAAGAGACCAGCGGTTGAAGACTACAGCTTAAGGTTTCAACAACCAAATGGGAAACAAGAAGTATTCGCAGAGATCGTCAGGACTGGCGCATTTGACAAAAAAGACAGGCATGGGAGGACATTTCTGCATTACGCTTGTGCTTTGAGCACTGAAGATGATGGCATCATTGAACAAACATTGCAACTCGACTGTGACGTCAACCTAAAGGATCCCGATAACATGACAGCATTACATATCATTTGCAGACGAACTAATGAGAACGTTCACAAATACATAGCACTGTTATTGCAGAAAGGTGCTAGAGTTGACATGACTGACAGACATGGCAATACCCCACTTCACTATCTTGGAATGACCTCAATCATAGCTGAACGGAATGCTACTCACCTGGAACTATTGTTAAATAGGGGATCTGATGTCAAAAGTGTTGATGGCAATGGTATAAGTTTTGTTCACTATATGGCTATTGCAGGAATTTGTGATAAAATTAAAGTTGCCTTGGATGAAACAAAAGATGTTGATGTTACTGTGAAACATGATGTCAGTACATTCATCCACAAGGGACAGACAGCACTTCATTTAGCGTGCATTTCCTCCAAAGCTGGAGCAGGTGTTGTGAACGAGTTGCTGAAGTCTAAGGCTAATATATGTGCAACTGACAGGAGGGGAAGAACGCCTTTGCACTACGCCTGCCGGTGTCCATGCGAAATTGCATATGATGCAACCACAAATGAACTGACCAGCAAACCTTCTTCAGACAATCTGGAGCGGAAAAAGGTTGTAGAACTATTACTTGCCCAGCATATGAAGAAGAGGAAAAGGGGCCAGAGGCCGGTTGATGAGAACAGCACTTCTGACTCTGTAAGTATGAGAACGGCATTTCTGACTCTGTATGAGAACAGCACTTCTGACTCTGTATGAGAACAGCACTTCTTACTCTAAAAGTATGGGAACAGCACTTCTGACTCTGTAAGTATGAGAACAGCACTTCTGACTCTGTTAGTATGAGAACAGCACTTCTGACTCTGTATGAGAACAGCACTTCTGACTATGTAAGTATGAGACCAGCACTTCTGACTCAGTAAGTATGGGAACAGCACTTCTGACTCTGTTAGTATCAGACCAGAACTTCTGACTCTGTAAGTATGAGAACAACACTTCTGACTCTGTATGAGAACAGCACTTCTGACTATGTAAGTATGAGACCAGCACTTCTGACTTAGTAAGTATGGGAACAGCACTTCTTACTCTGTTAGTATGAGACCAGAACTTCTGACTCTGTAAGTATGGGAACAACACTTCTGACTCTGTAAGTATGAGAACAACACTTCTGACTCTGTATGAGAACAGCACTTCTGACTCAGTCAGTACCATCTCACATCCTTGACTGAAAGACAGCTAAACTGATAATGCACAAAATTCCCGAATTCAGTAGAATTTCGTATTTAGTCATATTCGGCTTTGAGGTGTATTGATACACATTGTAATCCAATTCAAATTTAAATTGAATCACTGGTTGCACAGTAGTATTTGTATGATATTGTGTGTAATAATGATGATGATGTAATTGTTCCAGGGTCTTGGAGAATTTAGTGACAGCTCCAAAACAACAACGAAGAGCACATGTGTCCCTGTTCCTCCTGCTGTCAAAGATTATGTTGCCATGACAGACGATAGCGGAAGATCTGCTTTCCACTATCTCTGTTCCAGAGCAAACATAGACAATGACCTATTCCATTATATGATTTCACTGGACCCTACTGTGATGGAGTCACTAGTCAACAAAAGTGACTACAATGGCTTAACGGTTCTACATTCGCTTGTGCTCTCAGGATCACGCCACGCAGAGAAGATTATTAAACATGTAAAGAATATTAACGACACTTTTCACGGTGGAAATGAGGAATCAAAAAGCTTCTTTGTTATTCCGCCTGGTCAAACTGCTCTGCATTTAGCTTGTAGAACTGTAAATGCTGACTTGAAGATTGTACAACTGTTGCTTCAGCACAAGGCTGACGTCAACGCAACAGACTGCAATGGCCGGACACCGCTCTACTACATCTGCGAGGATGCACAGAACATCTCATGGGACCAGACCAGCAATGAACTTGTCATAAAGTCGGATAGCAAGGCCTCACACAATCATGAGGTTCCCCGATATAGCATTGCTGAAGCCCTGATAGATGAAGGGGCACTGAGGGATAATTCGGGTGAGGATGGTGTCCTACATCTGCATGGTCAGTTCAGAGCACGGTTTGCTGCAAATATCACAGGAGTGTCTAACTGACCAGTTTCCACAAGGATGGTGTATAGTAACTTCTTTAAGTGGCATCTAGAAGCTGGGATGATGAAGAGACAAGACAACTTATTTATTGCAATAAGTGCGATAACAGTGTTGATAACAGTGTTGATAACAGTGTTGATAACAGTGTTAGCATCTACACCGAAACGTCGCATCTGTTGCAATAAAGAAGTTGTATATCCATAATAAGTGTTCTTCCACATGCCCAGTGATTGACGGGCTGACTGACTGCCTTTAGAAATGTTGCAGCAATATCACGGCGGGGGACATCAGAAATGGGCTTCACAATCGGTCTACAGCGTGATGGGTAAATGCTTTAAACACCCGGCTACCCCACTGCCTAGTGTTTGATGGAGATAGTATCAGATGTCTCAACCGATGTGTGCTTTCAGTTTCCACTGAAGTCTCGAAACTGCCAAGGATATTGTGTAAATATGACCCAGTAATTTTGTTTTACGCTCGTCCAGTTTGTCCAATATTTTGCTAATTCCATTGTTAATGTCTTTACCTTAACATTACAGTCAAGTTGTTTCAGTTCCAATGAAGAATGTTTCAGTTCGATAAATAGGCCACCGACGCATTATATAACATGTACTGTATAAGCAATGTACATTTCTCGGGGAGGTGCACACTAGTTTTCTATCTTTTAAAAATGCATTGCGCTTTTTATACCTAAGAAATTTATATTTAGACTAAGCTTGAAAATTGTGAATAATGCGGGGTGCCAGCAGATCTACTTTTGTAGGATATACAATATAATATTTGGAAAGAAGATGATTGTGTAAATGTGTACAAAATGAATAAATGAAAAAATCCCAAAAATCAATTCCCTGTTTGACCATATTGATAAGAATACATATGTGTAAGTATAGGAATATTTTGCTCAATGCGTTCTCTCGTCCTGTAATAGTCCTCAATTAACAGAACGTAACAGGATATCGATAATCATATCATTGTACATATCAAAATTGTAGTTAAATCTGGATGTCTGTAGTGTCATTGAAATCATATACTTGAGCGCCTTGTCAAGGATTAAGTCACATAAGTCTCTCTTTAACGCGTTCCATTTGGAATGTTGTACAATTTAAAATTCTGGAGGGATGGTGGGGAGGCGATGGCGTTTCTGTAAGAGCAATGCTGAAACATTGCCCCCAAAAATGTCAACATATGCAAAACATGTTACATATGATGTCATTGATGTGTCTAGTGAGAACATCAGGTCTGCTTGACTGGTCTGCCGTTAATACGTATTTTTAGTGCCATTCAACTCTCTGCTTGACCAATGTTTTCCTGAATATTGTACTTCTCGTTGTCATTTATGTTGTACATAGTGTCACACACGTATCTACATAAGAAATATACCTTGAGTTTTGTATGTAGAGGCATTTTTGTCTTCATTTAGTCTTTATTTTGTCCAATTGTCACTTTATACAAATTTCAACTGGAACTTATATGCATTGGCTGTCCTGTCTACTTCAAAGATGTATCGAAGATGTTCTAAAGGAAAGAACTTGTGTATCTGCATATCAAATATACAGCAACGCACAAATCTGTACTGTCTGCCTTTTGAACAGGGTGTTTGTAATATGTGATATATCTTTGCTTGACCAGTTTGCCCTGGTGGTTATATTTAGTGTGATTTTAACCTTTGATTGAACACGTTTCCCGGATTGATGTATATTGTGTAGTATGTGCCTTTGATTGACAAGTTTGCCCCGATCGTTCTAGATAGTTTGATTGTAGTCTCTACTTGACCAATTTATTTAAATAATATTGTGTTTTGCATATGTAATCACTACTCAGATATATTTGCCAGGGCTGTTCTCAAATGGGTTTTTACTTATTCTTTAAATACATGTGTCAAATATATTTTAATGGGTCCAAGTAAGTGTGTATATATTTACTTAGAACATTTTGTCCAGGAAGTACTGCAAGATATGTCTCTTTATTATCTGCTTAAAAAATTATTCCGTTTTTTCTTGTTTTAAATATTTCTTGTTTATGATGTCCTTTAAGCGTCAAATGTGATCAGCATGTAGAGTAAACTAACATAAATCACTCCATGATGTTTTTCGTCCTCAGGGCGTTGTGTTCATTTAGAAAAGACTTCAGTATTCAGAGACTTTTATGGAATCCTATTGGGTATGAAGTCACCTGAGTCTCTTCTTACCCACGTTCCCAAGTTGTTGTATTTAAAGCACTTAAGAGTCTTCTGTATATAACGCCATAAAGGATAATTTTGCATGATGTCACATAAGCGATAACGGCTTGTTTGCGACAGTTCACAAAATATAGTATAAATTAATGATGCGCTGTACTTTCTGATTTTCAACATTGTTAATAATAGCACTTAGCTTCAATAATTAGCTCAGCGTGTGTACATTATTTTAGAATTCTAGAATTTGAGTCAGTTAAAACTGCCCCTTACCCAGACAATTATTACTGCATGACATGTGATAGTATGAGGTATGTTGCCTATTGAAGATACCACCGTGAAATCCGGGTTTTATCTTCAGTGACCCATGCTTGTCGTAACGGGATCGGGTGGTCAGGCCCGTTGACACATTCCTTCTTATCCCAATTGCATAGATCGATGCTCATGCAGTTGATAACTGGAATGTCTGGTCCAGATTCAATTATTTACAGACCACCGACATATAGCTGGAATATTGCTGAGTGCGGCGTAAAACTAAACTCACTCACTCACCCATATACCACGGCTTATAACAATAACCTAGTTTATCTCATTGCTTTATTGTTTATTACCAACTGAAGACCGTTAAAACCAAAATGATGCGAATGCTAGTTTTACTGACAAATATTCAAAACTCAACATGACTCCACTTTTTCAATGACATTGCCTGTAGAGGCGACATGTCATTCAGATGATCCTGTCCACCCATTCCCGATAACCTCCTCAATCCTGTAGTTAACTGACGCCAGTATCTTGTGCTAAAAAAGGTTACACATTAGGTGTCCTCCTGAGAGTGTACGTAAGTCCCCAAACTTTCAAAGTCAATTTAAACTTAGTACTTTATTATCCGCAGTATATACGTCTTAATATTTTATGGCTAGATTGTCTAAAATTGCTAATAGCTGAAGGGATGGTGTAATTCCAGCTGGACCCATGGAGGAAGCAAATGTACTGTAAGTACCCATCGTCCCTAGTATGGTAATATACCTCTATTTGTTGGCAATCTATAGCCTGTTTTTATATTGTATTGTCTTCTGTAATTAAGCTGTTTTAGAGTTACATACTAGTTTTAAGATTCATATCTCTGATATTCTAGCTGGTTTTACTGTCTTTCTCTGGGAGTTTCTAAAAATTTTTTAAAAAATACGTTTATTTATTCTAAAATTGTTACTTGTTTTTAGTCACAATATGGCTGAAATATTACCGATGTGACTTTAAATCTTAACTCACTCACTACAAATTAGGTCATGAGGTATTGTATCATAACCACTGTGTGGTTCTTACTAACAGATTTCAGGGGCTCATTTCACGAAGCAACATTTACTAAGGTTAACCTTAACTCCATTGTTTAACATTGCACTAAGGTTATCTTAGTGACTTACGATCACCTTAATGCTTTGTGAAAGGAGGCCGAGATCAGGCTTTAGATATGGATCTCGGATTGAAATTGTAATTACCACCACACGCAGAGACATTTCCGTGCAGTAATAACACATTTGATGCATAGGAAGTACTCGATATATAACACAACACATATTTTATTGAAGCTGTTGTGTGGGTTTATTGTGACATTTGCCGGCGCTTCCCTCTTTCTCCAATAAACAGTCCGTATTATTTATGGGTTTCCCATTGCCCCCCACGTCCCGCCCTTCCTTCAATTTCATTCCAACCTGAACTTCTAAAATGTTTTCTGATCTCAGTCCCCGCTTGGTGTCAACAATTCTAAAGACTATCACCAAGTGATCTACTTTTTACAATTTCAGGATATAATTTACACAAAGAGTAAAAGTATATACGTCATTATATTTTTTCAGCCAAGATTGTAACACAATTCTGGTGTACCCCGCCGTGATATTGCATGAATACTGCTAAAAGCGGCGTACAAACATACTCACTCACTCTTGCCGGTTGAGGCTCGAGATGAGAAATGCACCGAAAATAAGGATTGATTTACACAGTGTTGTTCTCCGGTACGAATTCCTGCAAATCAAAGAATATATATGTCTCCGAGCAACCTATGCTTGAACGGAGGTCAAGGTTGTTGGTCGTTTGTCAAAACAACAGACAACGAATATGGATTATAACTCGTCTGATCCAGGCAGGAGTATATACAAACTGTTGTCACATAGCTGAACATTGTTTTAACTGCCAGCAACGCCAAGTCGGACTGTTATACGAAAAGCGGGTAGTGCTGGTATGTAGTTTGAGTCCAGATATTTCTTTTAAAAGTGAAACGCCTAGATAATTACAAGCAACAATGAGCAACAATAAGACGGATATCTGCCTTTGTTATTTACAGCCTTAAGAATATATTTGTTTTCTGAGACGATAACCGGCGGCCTCCCTTCCAAGAATATCATGTTAAGTTCTCTCTGTGTATATCTTCCCATGTCATTGGAATGTCATAAACTAAGGATCAACGAAGTTTGATCTACTCCTACAGCCTCAGCTTGCTAGGACCAATCTTCCCCGAAATCTTGTACTTTATGTAATTAGAAATTACACACATTGCTTGTTCTATTTTTTAACTGTGATTTCTCAATAAACATTTCACACATCAAAGACCGTTATTTTATCTCTCTTCTCGGTCTTTTGGCTAAGATCAAAGTGTAAAGGGTAGTATCTTAAACGTTTTCAGTCGTGTAACGTTAACACCCGTTTGTGTAACCTCCAACCATACATGGTACCAGTTTGTGTAATCTGCAGTTGTACATGGTACCAGTTTGTGTAACCTCCAGCCGTACATGGTACCAGTTTGTGTAATATGCAGTTGTACATGGTACCAGTTTGTGTAACCTCCAGCCGTACATGGTACCAGTTTGTGTAATCTGCAACTATACACGGTACCAGTTTGTGTAATCTGCAGCTGTACATGGTACCAGTTTGTGTAACCTCCAGCCATACATGGTACCAGTTTGTGTAATCTGCAACTATACACGGTACCAGTTTGTGTAATCTGCAGCTGTACATGGTACCAATTTGTGTTATCTGCAGTTGTACATGGTACCAGTTTGTGTAACCTCTAGCCGTACATGGTACTAGTTTGTGTAATCTGCAGCTGTACATGGTACCAATTTGTGTAATCTGCAGTTGTACATGGTACCAGTTTGTGTAACCTCCAGCCGTACATGGTACCAGTTTGTGTAATCTGCAACTATACACGGTACCGCATTGTGTAATCTGCAGCTGTACATGGTACCAGTTTGTGTAACCTCCAGCCGTACATGGTACCAGTTTGTGTAACTTCCAGCCGTACATGTTACCAGTTTGTGTAATCTCCAGCCATACATGGTACCAGTTTGTGTAATCTGCAGCCATACATGGTACCAGTTTGTGTAACTTCCAGTCGTACATGATACCAGTTTGTGTAATCTGCAGCTGTACATGGTACCAGTTTGTTTAACTTCCAGCCGTACATGGTACCAGTTTGTGTTATCTGCAGCTATACACGGTACCAGTTTGTGTAACCTCCAGCCATACATGGTACCAGTTTGTGTAACTTCCAGCCGTACATGGTACCAGTTTGTGTAATCTGCAGCCATACATGGTACCAGTTTGTGTAATCTGCAGCTGTACATGCTAAAGGTACATGGACTTAATCTATACTCATATTATAATCCATAATTTACACGTAATACAAAACAGAAATCCACATTTACACGTCTGTACGTTTCATATGTGAATAACGTGTATTATGGATAATGCTAAAATAATAATAACACCATTTATATCACGCCGACTTCCAGGACGTAAGGGCATGTACTAAGCGCCTACAACATAATGAACATAATGCACCTCTGAGGCGCTAGGAGGTTCATTGTCATATGAGATCCCACCGGGTACCCATTTTCTGCTGGGTGAACTTAACTAGGCAATTAAGTACAAACTCACTTGCCTAAGGTGAGACAACATGTATCATATGCGTGACGTGTGCTTCTACAGAAGTCCTAAAAACTCTCAGGAGTCAAGCTGCCTTTCATGGTCGCCCATCCAAGGACAGCGTTGTTCAAAATCAACTGATTTGTGACCGGGCTCTGTGCACAAGACCATACGCCGCCTCTGGATATATATAAGCAAAAACAAAAAAATGTAAAATAACGACACTCACGGAGGCACGCAGCACGCACACGCTTTTTTATAGCTAAAATAAGGATGACTCTATCTTGATATATATCCCAGAAAACAGAAAACACTGTAAAGTCTGGTATTACCTTGGAGTTGCATTAAATTAATGTCTCAACATGCGTTAAATAGTTCACATTCATGTCATCAAATTCTAAGTGTTGTTCAAACAGAAGTGTGGCGGGGGGTAGCCTAGTGGATACAGTACGCCAAAGACCCGGGTTCGATTCCCCACATGGGTATAGTGAGGTGAGTTTAAGTCACATCGGCAGTATTTCAGCCATATCGTGATTAAATCAAGCTATAAATATATTAACAATTTAAAGTAAATTACAAAAATTCTGTCAACGAAGGACAGTAAAACAACTAGATTATCACAGATATAGATTTAAAACTAGAAATTAAATCTAAAATATTTTAACTATGGTTGACAATACAATATCAAACCAGGCTATAGATTGTCAACAACTGAAAGTAGATCACCATACCAGGGACCATGGTGACTTACAGTACATTTGCTCACATGGGTATAGTGTGTGAAACTCATTTCTGGTGTTCCCCGCCGTGATATTGCTCGAATAATGCTAAAAGCAGCGTAAAAACCATACTCACTCACTAATACAGAAGTGGATAAAGTTTGATCGGCAAATCTCAATTTAGTGCGCTAATAATGAAGCAAACGACTTCAAGCTTGAAAACGGTGTAAGAATCTTCACCGAAACGTTGCTCTATGCAATAAACAAGAACTTGTTTTCCATCAGGTTTTGATTTAAACATATTTTAATCAGTGAAGAATTGGATGAGGAACAAGTTATCCAACTTAGGTAACCATCTCCCGAGTATTTACAGCATGATAAATATACAACAAACATGTAATATAGAAAGAAATATAGTACATAAATGGTAGAGACCTATGTACGGAGATAGTTATTAAGACATATGAAAATATTTACAGCATTCAAGAAAAACGGGTTGTATACTTTATTACAGAAGTAGATATCCTTCCTATGTTTTTGCGTCGAGTCAATATATTAAGAATACTGGGATAATTCCCCTGGAGCCTATATTATGTTATATTATATGAGAGCTTCACTCAAGATATTTTTCACTGCAAGCGTTTATCTGGCGTTCCCGTCCCTTGGCTCTCCAACAACAACGCGCGTACAGACACATTGTTCAGGTTTAAAGCTGGGGATGGGTACATTTTTTCAGAAAAATCAATTATAGTAAGTTTAAAAAGGCCGCTTTCTATACGAGAGGACGGCGATTCGAGTCAACGAATATTTCCCTACTCACCGGCTGAACCGCATTATCAGTGGTTCAAGGGGAGGATACTCTCTTTCACTAAATCGGACATGCGACACAATCTAAAGCCCTTTTTACATGGACACATATACTTACGTAAGTATATTTGCTTACATAAGTAAATATACTTAGGGTAAGTAAATATGTCATGTAAATGGTTTTGCTCACATGAGTATTTTTACTCCTGTAAGTAAATTCCTTCTCCCCAAGAGGTGTAGTAAAAGTATATTTACTCCTGGAGTATTTTACTCCACAAGTATATATTGTCATGTAAACGATCTCAAGGTTTACTCTCATAAGCAAATCTATTGCATCACGTTTATAAAAATCTTACTACATCACCTAAATGGCTACACAGTCACATCACCTGTCTGGATTCTAGTACAGGAGCTAAGCCAGGAATAAATAATTTTGTTCAACACCTTCTATATAAAAGATCTGACTACACAGTTTGATCCAGGAGAGCCAAGTACTATGTAATCCCAAATTATAGGGTAGGTAAAATGTTAGAGTCATTTTATTGGAAGGTACCCATTGTAAAACATATGTTCATTTTATAGATACATCTGTATTGTGAGATAGATACAACATCTATAATAGCTGTTACATATGTCACCGCATTATGAAACAAAGCACATAATTACTTCAGTGACCAAGAAAGATTTCTAGTTGTAGAAAAATGTTGTTTTCAAAATGGCCGACATTTGACAAATTAACCATTCTGAAAAGGGCATGGTACATACTAATTATGACCTATGATTGCTTTTATATGTGTAATTCACACATACAACTGAGCACACTTACTGTATTTGAGTGTTTTAATAATTTCTTTTATGTAAATCCAGTCAAGACGTAATATCTGTTTGTCATAATAGACATTTTACATACTGGTCGCCATTCACCATCTAGTTTTTATCAATGAAATATAGGATGTCCATTCCAACAGTCCTTTGAGTGGGATATGCTTTGTCATCAACACAGGCTGAATTATACCATCTTTTGTCTCTCAACCATGGCCATCACAGAAGGGAGATCATGCATGGCTTGCAATGCCCTTCTCCAGACATAGACTTGGTAGTTTGCTCGTTTCATGCGCTGGATAAGGCTGTTTGAGGTTGGCGGTAATCTTTCATTGTTGACTTGCTTCTTACAGTAAAGCCAGTACCTGACACCATCTGCCTTCTTGCCAGCCCTGTCATCAACTGTATAATTCCTCACAAAGCTAATTCTTCCCCTAACTCAAGGGATTCACCAAGCTGTGCTAATCTGATTTGGTGAACATCACTGTTCAGTAGAAAAGGCAATGTCTTTTTCTTTCCAAGTCCTGACGGTGAACTGGTCGAGTCACATCCGGTGAGCACATGCAGTGATGGACCTAGATCTTTGCAAACGTTCGTTCTTGATTCTTGAGCAAAGAGAATGAACAGGTACAAACCTCAACTTGTCTATAATGCCTGTATGGAACCGAAGGTCTTGACACTCGAGATCAGCAAAGAGAAACGTACAAACCATAGCAACATCTGTATCTGGTGACTGAATCACAACCCTCTGGTTTTCAGAAGAAGCATGTTTGGCATGTAAGAGGAGCCGAGTGTCTACTTCCTCGTGGCCTGATGTCAGATACTGGACATCCTCATAATGACCCTTTGCTATTTTGTTTGATTGGCATTCTAGAAATTAGCGAGTTCTTACTCCCCATCTGCCCTCGTCCAATTATATTGTTCAGTGACGTGCTGCTGTTAATGTTAATCTGTTGTTTGTTATATCAAGCTGTTTTCACATTCATTAATATATTAGTGATATCTGTATTATGTTTAAAGTTGTCAATAATGTATTTAAGATATCAGAAAATAATTGAAGATATCTTTCATGAATGTCTGATATTCAAAATCAAATTACTGACATTGGCGGCGAGTGATCCTGTGAGTAGAGTTCAGGTCAAAATCAGTTGAAGTTAAGCAGTGTGGATAGATAAATGGGCAATATAAATGGACTATTATATTGTAAAATCTTACTGAGATTGCATTTGACAGAATAACAAATTCATGCTGTGTGAATTTGTATTTGTCAGAGCGGCACACAAATGCATGATCTAGACTACCTGTTGTTGGCCACCATTATGGTGAGTGGGTTAGATGGCTGACTTGGAGTTACTCGGAGTATCTGGGTTTAGATCCCAGGTGGAACTTAACCCCCCTAAAGTACTAAAATATACACAAATTTAACAAAGGTTGTGTTACTGTTACATTTATTGTTGACGTTGGTTATTATTTGACTATCAAATAGACCTTGATGTGTCTGGCAGGGATCCCTCGTCTGTCTACGTCCTGGTGCCGGGAGCAGGGTTGGGTCGCCTGGCCTTCGAGATTGCTAATCTTGGTTACAGTTGCCAAGGCAACGAATGGAGCCTCTTCATGTTATTTGCATCTGACTTTGTTCTTAACAAGTATGTTACTTTCTATTTCTCCTTTTTGCATGCCTTTTTGTATTGTGGATGTCTTTTATGTCCATCGGTGTTGAAGATACAGACCTTGTTTTACCTGGCATAATATTGCAGCCGACCCGTGAAGATCCGTGTTCGAATAGGTCTTCAGCAACACATGCTTGCCACAAAAGGTGACTATGCTTGTCGTAAGAGGCGACTAACGGGATTGCGTGGTCAGGCTCGCTGACTTGGTTGACACATGTCATGAGTTCCCAATTGCGCAGATCGATGCTCATGCTGTTGATCACTGGATTGTGTGGTCCAGACTCGATTATTTACAGACCGCCACCATATAACTGGAATATTGCCGAGTGTGGCGTAAAACTAAACTCACTCACTCATAATATTGCAGCCTATAGAAAAACAGAATAGACTCGAGTAATTTTCACAGCTGGGGCCATGGAATGCCTAACTGTTAAGTTTTCCCAGAAATTATTGAGAAAGCCGTTTTGGCAAATATCTAATACATGTATTAAACTATAGAAGTTTTACTTAAATGAATATGTTTAGATATGATTCTCTTTCAGTAGCAGATTCTACTACACCAGGGGAGATAACTCTTGATGTATGAAGGTTCATTCTTAAGCCAAAAAGAGTTGCCTCCCATATTGAGTACCTTAGTCAACACCTAACACCTATTTTAAAATTCTGTTATCAGTATTAGGAAACTATATCCGTATATAGTAGGTCTTGTTAAAAGACAGATACTCAGAAATATTGGACTGATGTTGGCCCCGATCAGCAAGAAGTTAGCTGCTGTTTCAGATAAATGGGGCTATGGTGTTTAAGCAAAGATATTCAGCACCCCATGCTTGTTGTAAGAGGCGACTAACCGGCTTGTTGTTTTAAATGATGGGGTGGTCAGGTTCGTTACACTTTGATGACACATCATGGAATCCTATGTAGGCTGATTGATGCTCGTGATATCAATCATTCGATCGTCTGATCCAGACTCGATTATTTACCAACCGCCATAATACAGCTGGAATATCACTGACTGGTGTTAAACAAGGAAACAACAAACAAACTTGCCAGCTGAACACTATTGCCTTGTAACTGACTTGCTTGTTTAGCATGTGCCTTGATCAGTTTGTATTGATGCATCCAGATGTAAACACGTGAATTCCTTCACCATGTACCCCTGGGTTCACCAGTGGAGCAACAACAAGTTGAAGGCCGATCAGACTCGACCAATCACATTCCCCGACATCGAGACCACCAGCATTGCTCCCACTGTCAGTTTCTCCATGGCGGCGGGCGACTTTCTCGAGGTGTACACCGAGCCAGGTGAGACAGACAGGTTGTCAACTTCTCAGATTTTTTTGGCGGGCAAAAACTTTGTTGCGTTCATATATGACCTGCAAATACAGTTATATTCTGGGAAGGTATTCTCACCAGAATCGATGAATAATATCCAGACATTTACATATATCACGGGGTCGTTACACGTTTGTCATGGTTGTCGCATGAAAACAAAAAACATTAGTTGTAATATATCATGCCTGTGCACATAAAAATGTTCAAACTTACTGGCAAACAAGGATAAGCTGGACCGGTGCAGAGAACGCGTTTATGAGAAGTAGGCGATGCACGGCAATGAGCGAACCATTTGGTTTGTGAAAGGTAGAGCAGATGTAGGCTAGTGCACGTGCATTGCTTGACGATGAAATTGATTCCGTGCGTAGCTGCACACGCCTTGCCCAAAAGACTCTCACGTGGGTGTAGCAAGTCACACAACACTTGATCGGTAACAACTTTGGGCCCCTTCGCTAACAATGGCAAGCGCCAGTGGACGGCACTCATACATGCTAATATGGGTCAATTGTCAGGCTGGTGCTCAACTTATCCTTGTTTGCCAGTAGTTTCGCTTTTACAATGATTCAACGATGTTAATAGCCATCCTGAGGTACAGATAACTTTTGGGGTCATTGAGTTATGTACTCGCTTGTGTTCATATCAATTGTGTATCCTAATTTTCCTTTGAGTAACCAAATAAACTGTACCCACATCAATCAAACTCAACGGGGTATTTTGCTATTTCCCATTAATTGTAAAACAAACAAAAAAGTTGAAATGTTGCTTTACTTGTTGTTTTTGTTTATTTGATCTGTATTATGAGAAACAATAAGAAAGCTGGCAAGTTGCCAAGATCATGTGCTGAAATACCTCTCAATCTACCTCAGTTATTTTAGTTTATGGATCCACAGGTATGCAAGCTAAGATTTGACATTTTAGTCTGTACGCATGTAAGATCAAATTAATTTAGTATTTACAAAAATTCAAGCATACTTGTACGGAAGAGACTCAATGGAATTGAGTTTTCGCATAAATATTTGCATAATTTATGCAGATACATTGCTTATCTGTACCTCTGCCATCAAGGTGGAAGGAGAAGTCAAGGTGTTATACAGTGACTGGATTTTCAGATCATGATTATACAGATTCTCTCACCTGCCAGGTGTATTTCCACAGAATCCTGGGACTGCGTGGCCACTGTTTTCTTCATCGACACAGCACACAACATCATTGCCTACATAGAAACCATGTACAAGATCATCAAACCTGGCGGCTGCTGGATTAATCTGGGTAAGGTTGACAGAGTTGTGTCCCTTGGTTTTCAGAGCCCGCCAAGAGTGCTGCGTACAATTTGCTTGTTTCATGCCACACACAGCATTGTTCCAGCTCAAGGACAGTCTGTAAATAATAAAGTCTAGCCCTGACAATCCGTGACATCATGAATAGCTGAAGAGTAGTTCTAATCCTTCACTTCTCGCCAGGTTGTTGTGCGATACAACTATAATGTTACAACTAATATGTAATGAACATATTTCTGATTACCTGAGCATGACGATTGCTTTGTACAGCAGCACCCTGTTCCACAAAGTGATGTTATTGCTGTGATTGCCTAATGTTAAAGGGACAGTATGTCCAACATTCTGAACAATAGATGAAAAACCCTGTGCTCACTTACCTCTGCTGGCTATTAGTGTTGGGGATTGGTTTAAATCTCATAATTGATGATTGGTTCATTAAAACCGATCAATCAACGAAAATAATTGGTTAGCGTCATTTATTAAATGTTTCTGGTTATGTTTGTTAATGCACAATAAATAAAGAAAAAACATGTAGTTCTTTCGTTTTTTTGCAAATTTCACATCCTTAAAGGATGACTAGTATGTTAAGAACATGAACTTCATGGAGTCTTTAAGATAAATTCAATCATGAATTGGAAGAGCTTGAAGTGCTAATGAAATGTAACAGACAAAACCAACCTTGTGAAAAATATCGTTATTGCAAACAAGTGTTCCAAAATTGTTTGTGTTTGATTATGAGAAAACATGATCGATTGATTGGTCGTTTTGTCATTGCGACCAATCTTTGATTATTTCAATTAATCGGACCACCACTACTGGCCATATATCCTGAGAGAAGTTTCTCCTCCAGTGCCTACACTGGAAGTCTATGCTTATGGGTTTGAACTTTGCTTTTGTTGTACAAATGTACCTATTCTGAAGTAAGTATTGTTTGTTTCTTAAATGAAGCACGTCTAGATTTCCTCAGGTTCAGAATCTCTGGTCTCCCTGGTTCTCCTATTCAATCTAATGTTTGTTACTATCAAAGTTTTATATATTCACAGACTAAGCTTTAGTCTGGTGTGTCCCTTGTACTGTCCAGACTAAGTCATGGAAACATCCGGGTTAGAGTGAGTGAGTGAGTTTAGTTTTATGCCACACTCAGCAATATTCCAGCTATATGACAGAGGTCTGTAAATAATCGAGTCTGGACCAGACAATCCAGTGATCAACAGCATGAGGTGAGGTGAAATTGGGTTTAACGTCATGCTTGAGCATATTTCGCTCATATGACGACGTGCATGCGTGTGTATGTGTATGTGCGGCTGCTTGTACTAGCCCAGACTTAAGCTGGTTTTATAGTGCTAGGTCACTGAGATACCATGCCGCAGTGGAGCATGAATACCCCACTCAGACACAGTATACTGACTCCGAGCCGACCAGTCCTTGTTGTACCCATTAATGCCGAGCGCCAGGCAGGGACCAACAAGTACCATATTTTAACGTCTTTTGGTATGACGCGGTCGGGGATCGAACCCGCGACCTTCCGCTCTCCGGGCGGACGCTCTAACCACTACACCACGGAGGCGGTCACAACAGCATGAACATCAATCTATTGAAATGTGATATTATGAAATAAAAATGGCCCTACTGTGTGTCTCGTGGTCCTATTCTGAGTTGTCCCTTGGTTTTCAGAGCTCAGAGTGCGGTGCACCATTGGCTTGTTGTTTCACGCCACATGCAACAATATTGCAGCTCTATGACGACAGTCTGTAAAGAAATAGAATAAACAATCTGTGTGTTGCAGGTCCCTTGTTGTATCACTACACAGACATGGCCAACGAGAGCTCCATAGAACTCAGTTATGAAGAGCTGAAGAATGTTATTACAAAGATAGGCTTTGTTTTAGAGGTAAGACCCAGTGTTTTTCTCATTTTCCTGTTTCCATTTGACAAGTGTCTCATGACCCCAGAACTGACTGTTCATAGCTTCACACTTTGAGATCAATTAGGGTGCAACGATTCGGTTCGATTCATCGAAAACCGAACCTGACACCTTAGTTTCGATTTTCGATAACCAGTATGACTATTTTGATTCAGTGTTTGATAATTGAATACTTACTTGAATTATTTCCACACAGCCAGAATGTAATATTGACTTCAACTTGGGCAGTTTCGAGCTCTGAAATAAAGGGAAAGGTGATTGGTTGATGCCAGACTAATTATCCAATCAGAATTGTTGTTAGTAGACATTGCCAAGTTGACGATGGACTTCACGCTAAAAAGGCCGACACTGAGAGTTAAATGAAATCTGATGTTTTTACTTGTATGAAGAATCGAATCGAATCGAAAATGATCAAATCGAGGGTCAAATATCGAAAAATCGAATCGAATCGAACTCTGGGTGAATCATTGCAACCCTAATATTAATACATCTTCACTGTCATTCTTGTAGTGACTATGTTTACTTCCTTAGTCCCAGGAGAACCACTGGAAAATCCCTAGCGTGGATAAATACTAGTGTTGTTCTGATCATTTAGACCCTGTATTTAGTATATATCATCTATTTGATAAATACTAGTGTTGTTCTGATCATTTAGACCCTGTATTTAGTATATATCATCTATTGATAAATACTAGTGTTGTTCTGATCATTTAGACCCTGTATTTAGTATATATCATCTATTTGATAAATACTAGTATTGTTCTGATCATTTAGACCCTGTATTTAGTATATATCATCTATTTGAAAGTATCCTATATCCTCACACCACATTTTGTCTCCTGTGATGATTCCGGCTAGAATTGGTCTTCGGCAACCCATGTTTGTCGTAAAAGGCGGGTAACAGGATCGATTGGTCATGTCATATCCGATATCATTCCTTTATAAAATGCTGTGGTTGGTTTGGTTTTTGACGCCTCACTCAGCACTGCAGTGATCAACATTCATGAGCATCGTTCCACGCAATTGGGATACGCTGACATATGTCAACCAAGTCAGTGAGGCTGACCACCCGATCAGTGGCTAACCAATTCTAACCCGGATCTTCAGGGGATTAGACAGCTGGAACGGAACCTGAGCTGAGAAACCTTGTCAACTGTTAATGTGTTTGATCCTCTTGCTTTCCGAAATCATTCCGTAATTAAATGCTGCAAAAATAAAAGTGAGATAGATCTCACTGGCTGTGATCAGGGAATTTTGTTTTGACTAAATATAGATTTAGGATTTGACAGTCACTTTGTGAGTTCATTTGAGTATAGAGAGAGGGACAACCACTGTAAATGACAAGCACCAGCCTTCAGATGGCCTCCACTCACTGAGGTTCGTACACTGATGAACTCAAACAGACTGAAAGTCAGTTCTCAAATAAAGTACTGAACACAGTATCTTCAAGGGTTCTCTTGGTTGCAGGGGCGATGGGGCAGCCCAGTGGTTAAGTGTTCGCTCGTCACGCCGAAGACCTGGGTTTGATTCCCCACATGGGTACATGTGTGAAACCCATTTCTCCCGACGTGATATTGCTGGAATATTGCTAAAGCGGTATAGTCACTCAGTCACTCCCTTTGTCATAGAATGATTTCAAAAGTTACAATGTGTTTTCATGATTACCGACTTTCAGTGTCATAAATATTTTGAAGTGTCATGAAATAAGTACTTCATGTGTCAGATGAGCTTCACAACCTTCAGACCTTAATTACTGTTCACAGTCTTTTTTTATGTCATGTGATGTGGTCAACCTATCAATCAGTCAAGTAAAATAATATTCAGTGTGAACGAGCCAATCAGCTGAAGCCAGAGTTATAACATTTGGTCAGAATGTATAGAGAATCTCACCTGAATGTCTTTTGATATCAAATATATCACCACAAGTTGATAAATTTCCAAACATCCGGCTTGCCGACGATATTTTTACTTTTATCAACAAGTGTTGATATATTTGATATCATAATACTCAAGGGTGAGATTCTATTTATCATCGAAAGTAATTCTTCATTAGTATTTAATGAAAAATGTACATCTCTGAACACAGAACTTGCATTAGACTTGCAGAGCGGCGATGTCATGGCATTGTGACATCATAGCATTGTCAGGGCATTGTACAAAATCTACTGTCAAATTGATATCTCCTAGGAGACATCGTTTGATCTTACACAAGCAATATCTCCATTGAAACACAGTTTTGGATGATAAATCAGCGTATATGTTGGATATCCTTGATGTGAAGTTATCTAATCTTGATACAAGGCTCACCATATCATATGATTTCTATCCCCTCTATCCCAATACACCTGATTCAGTACGTTAAAAGTTGTGTTTTAAACAGTTCTGTTCTACAACCAGTTTATGCCGATTTGCTAGTATTTCCTGGTTGACTATATGCAGCAGCAGAATGTACAGCATGCCCCAAACCTTTTATGTTTCTCTATATATATTATATAATATCCCATCATTGCTATCTTACATTTGAATACCAATGATTCTGACTCAACTTAAAAAATGTGAGTGAGTATAGGTTTATGCCACTTTTAATAATATTCCAGCAATATCATGGCAGGGGACACCAGAAATGGGCTTCACACATTGTACCCATGTTGGGGAATTGAACCCAGGCGTCTTCGGTGTGACAAGTGAACGCTTTAACCATGGGGCCATCCAATCGCCTTGTAAAGAAGGAGAGAATATGAACTTATGCAATGGAAATTCTATATTGGATTACATGTCATATTTCAGCTTTACCATATCATCACACTCCATTGATGTCCTGGATTCTGAAATTATATTTTCCAGAAAGAAGAAGTTGATGTGAAGTCGACGTACACCCAGAACCGCCTGTCCATGTTACAGTATGAATATCAGAGTGTCTTCTTCGTGGCCACTAAAACCCTCATGAGAGAAAAGGCTTTATCTCCCTCAAGCCTGTAGGAGTTACTCTGCCCTTGAAGACTGTTGTAGATGGTCTTCCTGCTACACAGACATCTGTAGAATGAGTGTGTTAATGGAGACAGGATGTGAACTGCACTGGAATGTGGACATAGTTCCCGATCATCATCATCATCATCATCATCATCATCATCATCATCATCAAAAGATTTATGTAGTGCCAGTTCCAGTCCAAAAGTACTGCTCAGTAATGCTCCCTGAACAACTTAAGAATTAAAAGTTACTTTACAAAGCTATACCAAGGAATCCACATGCTGTATTGGGGGAATCTGGTTATAAGAAAGACCCAAACAACCTGGACTTAATGGATTACAGTGTGTACCAGAAACTTGACTGAAATTAGTACTGGGTACGATTTAATACTTTTACTGCCTGCACAATTACAACTAAGTGAGTTTTTCAGGTTGCACAATCAAAATATTGCATATGCCATGTTATACACGTTACGATTCTTTATCAGCAGAGTGAGATGGATATGCATAACCAACTTCACCATCTCCAGAAAGAACACATTACCTGATATTTGAAAAGGATGTTTTGATAGATTGTTGCATTTTAACTGATATGTTCATTCGTGAATTTTATTTATTTTCTGCTTGTCCAAATCAACTGTCCACCATTACACGTGATGTATTACACAGTGACCTCTGACCTTCCATGAAATGTCACATGATTGTGTAAAGTGTGTGGTCTATCCTACTAATTAATGGGTGTGGTCCATGTAACTGATTAACGAGCAGGAAAACAGACTTGGTTTGTTTTGTCCTCTGATTACACAAGGTAGATGAAGGGGGGCAGTGGCCCCTGCTGTGATATTGCTGGAATATTGCTAAAAGCCTCGTGAAACTAAACTCACTCACTCACTGGTAGGTCAAGACTTATTTAAAAGTGGAGAATTGTTTCACACCATTCATGCACTGGTCGTGGGAAAATGTACCTTCAATGAGCTCAACCTGACAATAAAAGTTGCTTGCACTAGTAATGATTTCCTGTGCTGGATGCAACCTGACAATAAAAGTTGCTTGCACAAGTAAAAATTGACCTGTGCAGGTGCAGCTTCGATATATATCAAAATGAATTACTGCCTAGTGCCATTTTCAGTTCATGTTACTGTCAGCATAGGCGTTTTATTAGTATTCTTACCAGACCAAACAACAAAATGTACCAAGACATATACATGGTGGCTGAAGTCACAGACTCAGATCTAGCTTAGAGGCTTGGGAATATGGTTAACTGTGTCTCATGTTTCCCTTCCTGCTTGGGTCATTGCTCATAATATCCATCACTGGCTTGCCCATCCAGTGTCAAATGGAGCGGTGGGATTGCTTAATCGGTAAAGGGTCTGCTCGTCACGCCAAAGACCCGGGCTCGATTCCCCCACACGGGTACAATGTGTGCAGCCCACTTCTGGTTTCCCCCGCCGTGATATTGCTGAAATATTTCTAAAAGCGGCGTAAAACCAAACTCAGTCAGTCAGTCAGTCGTCACGCCAAAGACCCGGGCTCGATTCCCCCACATGGGTAGTACAATGTGTGCAGCCCACTTCTGGTGTCCCCCCGCCATGATATTGCTGGAATATTGCTAAAAGCAGCATAAAACCATACTCACTCGCTCACTCAAATATACAGAAGAGTTAAAGATGAAATACTTGCTTCAAACAACAAATAAGCTGTAAGCTGTTGTGGTGGTGTTTGAAAAGTCCTGAATCAGCATTGCGGAAACCTCTTCCAAATAACCACGCACTTCAAAGAGGCGTTAATATGACAGATGCTTGTTTTTAACATTAGAATATATCTTAAGATATCGACTCGTGCGTTTTCATTGTAATGAGCTGGAGAAGAAGTTACGTCGTCATTATCACTGGGGTGGCTGTCGATATAGACCATAGAGATCTATAATCGTTAGCTAAGTATCAATCGATTATCAAAAAATATAAGAGACGTAACTGAAAGGGAAAATGTCTGAAATAAATATATTTTACAATGGTGAGTGGTGACATATTTTTGCATTTATCATTAACAAAGCGTCCTTAACATGAGTTAGCAGCAGACCTTGAATTACGTCCTATATTTATATATTGTATACAAAAATGAATTTTTTTCTCTCTCACAGTAGTTGTATTATCAATAACACAATTTTCATGTTGATAATCATTAATAATCTTTCCTATCGACGATTTTTCCAGTTATCGATCATTTTAGCCAGTCCTAATTATAACAAGCATGGACCGTGATAATATACATGACTGATTTTGAAGTAATTTTGTTGAATGAATTATAACCTTCATGAGGTTTCAGTTTTATACGAACTGCTCTGTATCAGAACATTAAAGGACAGAATTTGTATGCAATCAGAAATTTCTCGTGCTATCTGAGGTTTCAGGAAAGATTTTCAGTTGTAGTAAAGTGAAACAGAAACTGGATTAGATGTGCAGGAAGTTGAAAATACATAACTCTTCACGTCTTTCAGACGATCTCTTCCTTGTGGGCCGTTTTACCGTGATGTTCAGTGTATGTGGAGTTCTTGTTACTGTACAGGGAATCACGGCAGTAATAGTGTTTTAGCTATTGTCATCTGTCACCCGTGATGATCCAGCTAAGAACTGGCCTTCAGCAGTCTGTCTTCAGTAACCCATGCTTGTCATAAGAGGTGACTGAGGGGATCGGGTGGTCAGACTCGCTAAGTTGGTTGACACATGTCATCGTTTCTCTATTGCGTAGATCGATGTTCATGATGTTGATCACTGGATTGTCTGTTCCAGACTTGAGTATTTACAAACCGCCGTAATATAGCTGTAGTATTCCTGAGTGCGGTGTTAAAACAACAACCAATTGTAATCTGTCATTTGTTACATGTTGATTCCTAAATTTTACCTAAAATGTTTATTGGAATCTGTCTGTGAAAAAAGTTGATGTGAAACCAACAACAAATAACAAAGAACTGTGATGTACACAGAACCGTAACCTAAATTCGTGGACAACCATGGTTCGTGGATCGCGGTAATTATCATGATATCTCGTAAATTGATCCTCGTATGACGTCACGAAGCGGTACTTTTGATGTACACACAGACAATCAATGCTCAGCTTCTGTTGACCTGAGGTGTCACGTGAGATGAGAGGCAAGAGTTAACTCCCCTTACTGAGTGTCAACAGCTGCAATGTATTACACTTGGAACATTGATTCGTAATCATCAAAAATGCCGTATAACACATTTTGGGGGCTGACAAATACCCAACAGGGCAAAATCCTATAGGACAAAATTTCTTTGATCAAAATCTTACACCAAAATTACCAATATTGCTAGCCATTTTAACTAGTTTTATTTTAATGATAATGTTTTCATGACAGAAGCCAGTGAGATAAGTCGATTAGCATGTTTTCGTAACAGAGGCCAGTAGCTGCATTGATAACTTGTATGAATGTGTCTGTGATGATGGCAGTTTGTATCAGTGTTCCGAAATGGAAGACTTGAAGGGCAATATAAGGAGGAGTTAAAATAGCATTAGATTGATTTTTGTACACTAAGAAGGCTACAAATAAGAGTAGTATTTGGTGAGATCTCTATCATCGTTCAAGACAAATTGCATGAGAATGTCATGGGTCCATGAAGACATCGTTGACAACGGAGAATCCGGTTTTTGTTACATCGGATAGTCATCCAGTCATGCATCAATGAAGATGTACACAATTATGATCAGTACTGCTTATTCATGACGTCTTCAAAATAAAACATCTTTTCAAAAATAAATTGTTTGTCATTTTTCACACTGTTGAATTCTGTACGAAGTGCAGGCAACTTGTCCTATGGGATTTTGTTCGGGTGGATTTTGTCTGGGGTATGGTTTTGTTTCGATGAGATTTTGTCTGGTTGGGATTTTGTTCCGGTGGGATTTTATCTGGTTGATTTGTCTGGGTGGGATTTTGTTCCGGTGGGATTTTGTCCTGGTGGGATTTTGTCCTACCCTCCACAATTTATATGTCTATCAGGGATGAAATGTTTACAATTCGGATAGACCAAGTGATCCGTTGTGGATCAGTTTTGTGAATGGAGTGTGAATGATAGACCACGACATGCTTAACTTTGTTGTGAACACCCGATGTCATCACTGATTTCCAGTGATCCTTTCCTAATTACCACAACGAAGCACATGTGATACATGTGCTCTCACCTTAGGCAAGTGAGTGTTCAAATTTCCTCTGTTCACCCAGCAGAAAATGGGTACCCGGTGGGATAAAGTCATGTGACTATAACCTTCTAGCGCCTAACAGGCTAACTATTTTCTCCTTTACGCCAAATGAAATTTGTTTCTGAGGATAGTCAAAACTGAGAACATTCATTTGCATTGACATTCTATACTGCATTAATATCTTTTCTCAGGTATAGAAGGGGGCGAGGGGGTAGCCTCGTGGTTAAGGTGTTGGTTCGTGACGCTGAAGACCCGGGTTCGATCCCCATGGGTATAATGTGTGAAGCCCATTTCTGGTGTGTACGCCCTGATATTGCTCCGTTATTCCTAAAATCGGCGTAAAAGTAAAACATACAATTTTCAGTGCTGATTAAGCTCAGAGTAATGGGACAGAGTCTTGCAATAAATATGTGATTATTAATATGGTTGTTATAAGCGTTGAAGGACATGCATATGTTCTTGTATTGGCAGCAATTTATGCTGCTTTATCTGACCAGGACTAGGGATGCAGAAGGCAACTTCTGTAGCCGTGGCAGCAGGACGTCTTTGAAGGGCATGAACGTCATCAGTGGTAGCAGATGCTTGTTCGACGAAGATTGGGGAATAGAGAAATGCAATAATAAAAGAAAACGATTGTAGAGAGACTGTACAATTGACTCAACTCTCTATTGTGGTCACCCATTGCTGCGCACACACATTCTGACATACTCAATTTGACGCGTAACAGTAACACACACACACACACACACACTGGAATATTCTACCAATGTTCAAAGTAACTGGTGTCTTTTT